ATTTTTATGACCATATTAAAAGTATTTATAGCTGAACCATGTGATATACATACTATGATTACTTTCCTGCAAGAATTTTGTTTTTTGCTTGAATTAATAATTTTTTCCATGTGCTTACTTTTATAGTTTTAGCTTTTTGTTTTTTGCTTAACCCCAATTCTCCCTCAGGTATTTAAATCATTTTCTCAAAGTTTAATGTTCTTTCACTTATAAGTCATTTTTTTTGCTGAGATATGTATTTTTTAAGTCTTAGTATTTTACTAGAATATGTCCTAAAGTAGTTTTTTTATGGCTTGTTATTCTTAGATATGATGTGTTCTCTTTCATTTATAGGTTCTATTTTTTTATGTCTGTAAAGTTTCTTGAAGTATACTATTTACTATTTTCTTCTTTTACCTTAGTTTTCTTCAACAGGCTCTACTGTTGTAGTATGTTGAATCTTTTTTTGCCTATTTAGTATTTGTTATTTTCCTTCATATTTAAATATTTTGTTTTTTCATGATTAAGAAAAATCCCATTTTTTGTTGAATTTTTTAAGGCATTATCTGTTGTGCTTATTTGGTTTTGTTACAGTTTAACACTCATTTTTGAAATGACTTCTCTTTCTACTTCTTTCCTGAGTCATACTATGTCACTTTAGTTTCTCTAAATTTGATTGACATAGTCCTTCAAATTCTGGTGTTACTTTATTATTTTTTAAATAGTAGGTCACAGTTTTGATCTACCTGGCAGACCTGTACTTCACAAGCATTCGTTCCGTGTTGCTGGTGGACTCGTGAACTTCATTCAGACAGGTGCCACCGTGGTATGCTTCTCAGTGTTACTTTCCAGTCTTTACTTCCTGGAGAACTTCCTCTCTGATTTGTCATGTAGATATTCTAAGCATATTCATTTCTCCCATCATATGTCTTTGTTTAAACTCCCATATTCTTCAGATTAACAGATGACTCTTTCCTATGTCACTGACAAACTTTGAGACCCCGGTAGTGATCTGCCTCAGTTTCCTATACGTACCCTTGTCCCAAAAGTCACCTACATCACTTCTCATTCTTACCTTCTTTCGCCTGGTCTTAGAGGATGAAGTTTCTCTGTTCTGCTCAAAGTCATTTTGGATACTGGTTTCCATTACACATCTCCTCATGCCATTCCTAGTGCCTTGGTTATTATCTTTTATTTTTTTCCTCTGTGTCTTCCTATTTCTCTCTTGTTACATCCACTCCATACAAACATGCTGTACATTCCCATCTTAAAAAGAAGTATTCCCTGTCTTCATCTTTGCTTCCATCTAGCTACCTACATCTATTTCTTTATCCTACTCTTCATTCAAAATACAACTTTTCACCTCACACTTACTTTATTTTGTAAATCACTACTTTTTAGTTCCAGCAGCCTCGTTAATGAAAACAGTGCAAGCCTTGAAGACAGCTAGTTATAGCTGAGCTCAAATCTCAGCTCAGGAAGTTACTATCTTTACTAACCATAACATTATTTTTTTTAATTTGTAAAATGGATATAATCACGTGCTAGTGCGGTTTTGAGGATTTGTGGGAAGCTTATAGGAGCTCAGTCCTGACACACAGAAGATATTCTCCAAATGATAGTAATCAATACTATTGTATTGGCAACTCGTATATTTAGTGTATTTTCTAGTTTGTTTGTAAATATGTCTTTCAAATACTTGGTGTTGCAGAATAAGTGACCTCAGGAAAAATACAGTGTTAGTATGTATAGAAAATTATGACACTGGATTATCCTGTTTGCTTAATTTGTTTGATTTCTAATGAAATTTTATTTTGCGTTCAGATATTTTTTAAAAGACAGGCTTGTTCTTTAAGAGCCTATTTCTTATTTCACGACCATCTTTAACATCGGTTCTTTTCTGTTCCGTTTATTGGTAGTGCGGTGAGAAACAGCCCCAATGTGAATTATGTTGTACGATTCAAGGAGTGATAGGAAGTTGCTTTTCTGCTGACCTATGATTAGAATTGAGATTTGTCACTTTTTAAAACTCTTCTCCTGCCGGTGCAGACTCTGTCACTATGAGATAATATAGGGTAGGGGTGCCCACCCGTGGCCTGCAGGCCGCACACAGCCCAGCATGGCTATGGATGCGGCCCAACACAAAATCGTACATTTATTTAAAACATTGTGAAATTTTTTTCAATTACATTTCATGATGTATTAATATGTGGGCAAAGACAACTCTTCTTGTTCTGGGTGGCCCAGAGATGCCAAAAGGTTGGACACCCCTGATGAGGGATTCAGAAATGACTAAAATACAGGCTCTTTGTTCAAATGAGTATTTTTCTGCCCTTCTTTTGTAAATCCAGTTACACAGTTTTAGATCCTCCTACTCTAGCCCTTTTTTCTCCTTTATGTGTTCACCATCCTTTTAACTTCCTATACTTCTCTCAAATGTATGTATTTGTCTTCCAATTCTAAAAATCTCTCTTGGGTCATTTGTAATTTGCTGATAAATCCATCCATCCATCATGTTTTATTTTTAAGTTAAAAATCTTTCATTTGGTTGTTTATAATTGTTTCCAGTTCTCTGTTAAACATTCTCACTCTTGCATTTTAGTTTTAAATAAGTTTTGTTTGTTTATTTATTATTTTTCATTCCCATTTATCCCCCCGTACCTACCTTCCCCAGCAATCACCACACTGTTGTCCATGTCTACAAGTCCTTTTTCCTTTTTGCTTCTCTCCACTCTCTAACCTCCCCCACCAACAGCTGTCACCCTGCTCTCTATCTGTGAGTCTGTTTGTATTTTGCTTGTTCGTTCAGTTTGTTCGTTAGATTCCACATATGAGTGAAATCATATGGTATTTGTATTTCTCTGAATGGTTTATATCACTTAGCCTAATTAATATTCTTCAGGTCCATCTGTGTATTGCATGATAAATTTTCTTCTTTTTTTATGGCCAAATCGTGTTCCATTATGTAAATGTCCCATAGTTGTTTTATCCACTCATCTACTAATGAACACTTGGGCTGCTTCCATATTTTGGTGATTATAAATAAGGCTGTAATGAACACAGGGGTGTTTACATTCTTTTGAATTAGTGTTGCAGGTTTCTTCCGATAAAGTTCCAGAAGTGGGATCACTGGGTCATAAGACAATTCCATTCTTAATTTTTTGAGGTATCTCCATACTGTTTTCCATAGTGGCTGTGCCAGTCTTCATTCCCACCAACAGTGCACTAGGGCTCCTCTTTCTCCACATCCTCACTAGCACTTGTTATTTGTTGATTTATTGGTGATGGCCATTGTGACTGATGTGAGGTGATATCTCAAAAGTTTTTGCACAGAAAAGGAAACTATCAACAAAATCAAAAGCCCACTGAAAGGGAGAACATATGTGCCAATACATCTGATAAGAGATTAATATCCAAAATTTATAAGAACTTAACCAAACTCAATACCAAAAAAAATGCAAGTCAATTAAAAAATGGGTAAAGGGTCTGAACAGACACTTCTCCAAAGAGGACACACAGATGGCCAAGAAACATATGAAAAGATGCTCAATGTCAGTAATCATCAGAGAAATGCAAATTATATTTTATTTTATTGAGCATATCAAGCATATTTTAAGTCTCAGTCTTATAACTTTTTTTTCTGAATCTCCTATGTGTTTGCTTTTTTATCTGTTATTTCTCTCGGTTTTTAATCCCAATAATTTTTTTTTTTCTATTGACTTGGTCAGTTTTCATTGAATGTAAAAATTTTAGAAATACCTCTATACTGTAAACGAGGAAATGTCCTTCTGATCAGACTTATGATTGTTTTAGCAGATTGCTAGGGAGCACTGGCAATTCTGGATCACCTTAATTCAGGCAGCATTTTATATGGTTCAGATTTAGGCCTCAGTTCCTAGTTGGCTGTCTTAGTAGGTCTGGCCTACTGTAACAAGTACCGTAAACTGAGACACTTATTAAACGATAGAAATTTGTTTCTCGCAGTTCTGGGGGCTGGGAAGTCCCGGATTGAGGCATCGTAGATCGTGTCTGTGTGGGTGCCTTTTCTGTCCATCCGGGACCATCTTCTGTCTGTGTTCTCACATAGTGGAGGGGCACGGAAGCTTTTTAGAATGTCTTCTATAAGGGTACTGATTCTGTTTATTATCAGGACTTTGCCCTCATTACCTCCCAAAGGTCTGAATTCCAAATGTTATATTGGGGGCAGGATTTCAACATATGAGTTTTAGGGGCTACAAACATTCAGTATATAGCTGGCTACCTATTTCAGTGTACCTTTTTAAGATCCAGTTCTGTAGTCTAGCCAGTTAATCCAGCCATTGTCTCTTATCCACAGACCCCTTCCCATCTCTTTCCAAAATCATGATATTCCAGTTTTTGTTCCTCTAACTTCATCAGCTTATTAAAAGCTATCAGAGAACAGAGGATTTTCAAATAGTGTAAATACTGTGTATGATATTATGATGATGGAAGTATATCATTATACATATGTCCAAACCCGCAGAGTATATTACACCAAGAGTAAACCATAAGGCAAACTATGAACTTTGGGTGATTATGATATGTCAGTACAGGCTCGTCCTTAGTAAAAAACGTACCATTCCTGTGAGCGATGTTGATACCAGGGTGGGAGGGAGGTGGCTTTACGCATGTGTGGTGGCATTGACAGACAGGGGTATCACAGGAAATCTCTGTACCTCCCTGTCGGTTGTGTTGTAAACCTAAAACTACACTAAAAGGAGTCTTAAAAAAATCAGAAAGAAAACCTCAGAGAAGTGGAAAGTGTTATTTCTTCACTATAGATCAGCGAAGCCATAAAAACATTATATCTACACACACACACACATAGATGCACACACATATATATGCACATATACACACATGATACATACTAAGATATAAATATATGTAATATGTAGTATATTCAGTAGTTACTTTGATTTGTAGATGCTTCTGTGGTAAAGTAACTAGCATTTGTTTGTTAATAATTTGTTTAAGGAAATTTTTCTTTAAACTTTCAGATGATACAGCATTATTTGAGTTGATTCAACTAGTTCCACCAGGTACTGTATTATGTTTTGATAAAGTAAGTGACATGTGAACCCATTTCAGTGAAGTGCTGTTTAAATATCTCATGTTTTTCTTTTCTTCTGAAATTAAGAACAATTTTGAGTCTCCAATATTGGCTCGCTAAGTGTAAAATGTCAATAGATCAAAATAATATACACAGGAAAGTTGATGTAAGTGGCATTTGAACACACAGTTCTACAGTTGAAGAAATAGTAATAAATGAAAGTAAAAACTAACCTGGTTCCATTCTAGTATATTTTCTGACATTCATAAAAGTTGAGTGTTAGTTAGGTTTTTGTGATTTTTCTAAAATTATATGCTTTGTTGATGAAGTAGTAAGTTATCTTTGTTTTTGTGCATGGACTGTTACTGAGAGGGAAGGAGAATAAAACCTTACCCATTTAGCAAGCAGTACAGATCCCTAGAATAGGTGGAGTTAAAATATGGAGGAGAGTTTTATTTCTGTTATTGATAGCTATGATTATAGAAGAAATCTGAAGTACTTGTTTTTGTGAAAAAAGAGCTATATTATTGAAAACTGGTAATTTGAAAAATGCTGAACATTAAATATATACCAAATTCAGATAACCACAAATTCCAGAAAATGCTTGTATTTTTTTCAGCACGTAATTAATGCCTTATGATGGCAGATAGAACAGAAGACGGAGAAATTTGTGGAGACTGTAATTAAAATTCAGATGAGCACATGTCATAGCAACTTGATATGTTTACAAAGACTTTTTTTAAGGAACTCGTAGCTACTCACTGAAGTTAGATGAATATTCGTTCCTCCTTCTACGAAAGGAGGTATGACCATTAGTAAAGTGTGCTCCATGTTTGAATAAGGAAATGCGTTAGTCCACTTAACATAACATTAATTTTCCTTTCATAGAAAAAACCATGACCCCGAAGCAGGTATTTCATTAAGGCATCAGGCATTATGTATGTTGTACCTGACGATTTGGTTCCTAAATAGAATATTTTGTTATAATTTGAATCACAGGATATCTCTCTTGTAGTGGGTGAAACACTGTCTGCATATGATGAAAACACACGCGATTTCATGTTTCCGGGTCCGAACCAACTCTCTGGGCACCACGACTCCAACCGCCAGGTCACCATGAGCAGGATTTCTGGCCTTCGCGTAAGTGCCTGCTGTTTTCTGAGCCGCTTTGTGACCCGAGGCCCCGAAACCACTGCGGAGCCCTCCGCGTGAGGAGCCGCGGCGGAGGTTACTGTGGGTTCATCATAATGGCTTTCTGAAGTTGTAGTGCTATTTTAAACATATGAGGTTAGATGAAAATAAGTAAACAAAAGCCATGTATCTACCCCAAATTAACCAATGTTATTTTGTCTTATGTTCTTCACATGCCTCTCCTTCCTTCACCTCTCCCACCCCTCCTCGCCACCACCCTGTCTTTCTCGGATCTCTCTTCTCTCTTTTCTGTATTTTTCTCAAAGAATGACCAATAAACATTTTGGAAGTTGCTCAACTCAGTAACATTTAAGAAAAATCCTATTAAAACAACCGTATTATTTCATTTTTACAGCCATAAAAATGATAAAATTTAACAAATTTGACAATATCAAAAGTGTGAAAAAAGGAAAGTCTCTAATGCGGGTGTGCCGTGTAAATCGGGAACAGCCACAATGAAGAATTATCTAGGAAGGCAAAGATTCCCGTAGCCTACTAGGTGGACATCTCAGTGACGGACGGGTTTTCACTGGTACACTAAGAGCCTTCTTAGGCATGTTCATCTGTCGCATTGGTTATAATGGTGAAAAATGGAAATAGCTGAAATGTTTATTGGTAGGATTTAGCTAGACTATTTATTATGTGCTCATGGAAAGGAAATCAATATTTACACACCTAAAAGTGAAAGCCACATTGTGACCGCAGGTTCTCCCCTAGAGTCTTCCAACTTCCTTCTGCTTTTGTTAGATGATTCCAAAACATTTTCATCCCTGAAAATGTCTTCCACTTAAAGAAACTGAGAAAACCCTCTGCTGTTTCAAAGGAGAAAAAAGCAAAATGTATCTAGCTTGAAACAACTTGGACGTTTTTTACTGACTTTGTGAAACACTAGAGTAGTCTGCGTAAAGAGAGTGCGGTGGTGTGAGCTGGTGTGCTGAGCTAAGTGGCTTCTCCTGCAGGTCTGGACTTGCCATGTACTCTAGCCTAGGACGTAACAACGCCAGCTTGCTGGAAATATACAAGTTGACTAACTAGCGAATCTATGAAAATGTACCTCCTTCGGGGTATTTTTAGTATCTATTAGCCACCTTCTCTACTATGAAAGTCTTCAAAGAGTTTCTACTTCAAAGAGTAGACAGTTTCAGCAACTGTCTAGGAACTTGCAATGAAAAAAATGTCTGATTTTAAATAGAGTCTTTTAAAAGTAATTTAAAATGCTACAGTATACCAAATTGGTAATGCAAATGTAACAGTATGGACCGTTAACAGTTATCATTCTTCATTTAATTTGAGTTATTCTTACATATGATGTACATTCAGAAGATATTGCATTGCTAAGGCATTTTATTTTAATTTTTTTAGATTTTATTTATTTTTAGAGAGAGGGGAAGGGAAGGCGAGAGAGAGAGAGAGAGAAACATTAATGTATGTTTCTCACATTACATTTAGGATTAAAGTCTGGCAGTCACAGACTACCTGAGTAAACTGAGCAAAGCACTGTAACACAGAGACATGATAGGGTCGTAGGATGGATTAAAGTTAGTGATATGACGATGGCCGTGGAGATGAGGACAGTGGTAATGATGCTGGTGGAGATGGTGATAGCATCTCCTTTAGACTGTGAATGTCATAGAAGCAGAATCTGTGTCTCTCTCACTTTTGAAATTAACTCTTAGCACAGTAGTTTGCCTAGAGTGGAAAGTTAAATGTCTCTTGATTGAATTGAACTGAATGAGTTACCTCTTATTGTAGGCTTTATAGAGTGACCACCATTTGAGATGGTGTGATGCTTAATTTTATATGTCGACTTGGTTAGGTTATGGCACCCAATTGTTTGGTCAAGCACTGGTCTAGGTATTGCTGTGAGGATACTTGTGGATGTGATTAATATTTCCAAACGGTTGACTTTAAGTTTAGGTTTCTCATTACCCTTGATAATATAGGTAAAACTCATCCAGTTAACTGAGTGTCCAAAGAACAAAAACGGAGGTTTCCTGCAGAATAAAGGATTCTGCCTCTGGACTATAACACAGAAACACTGCCTGAGTTCCCTGGCTGCTGGCTGCTTACAGATTTTTTACTCAAGACCGCAGTGTCAACTTTCACCTGAGTTTGCCATCTGCCAGCCTGCCCTGTGGAGGTTGGACTTGCCACTGTCACAGCTGTGAGAAACACTTTCTTAGAATACAGCGTGCTCTCTCCGTCTTCGTGCAGACACACATACTCTATTCTGTTTCTTTAGAGAGCCCAAATTAATACATATGGGTTTTGAAAGATCAATGAAAATAATGACTAAAACATTATTTACTATGTGACCAGCAGTATATGGAGTGTGGTAAAGTAATAAATTACAATTCAGGCTACAGTAGTTGCAAAATATATCCATAAACGATTTGACACTCCTCTCTTCCAAAGGCAGAGCTAATTCTGTGGACAACATGGTGCTAACAGATACAACATGGTTAAGTGACAGTATTAGACTTTAGGCTGGGTCATTAAATGCATTGTGGCTTTCTCTTTGCATTCAGTTTTGTATCACTTGTGCTGTGGGTAGCCAGCTGCCATGTACGAGGATATTCAAGCAACTCTGAATGTTCTGCAGAGGACAGAAGTTGAACAGCTTTGCTGGAGTGTTTGTGAAAGATTGAAGAGCCTTGAAAAAAACTCAGATGCATGTTTGCAGGAAAGTGAGGCAGATGTTATTGGGAACTAGGAGAAAAAGAATTCTGGTGATGTAAAGGCAGAAAGGTTAGCAATAGAGTCCCCTGCAGCAATGTGGCTGTAGAAAAACACCTAATGAAATGGGGGTCTGTGCAAGGAGACGTTCAGAGAGGCTTTTCCTTGCTGCTTATGGAAAAATATGGGAGGGGAGAGAGAAACAAAAGGAAAGGCAGGTAAACATAAAGGAGTTGAAACTTACTGTTTCCGAGAATGCCCAGCCTTTCCCAATGGCCAGTATGATAACTTGCAACCCAGTCTTCTGAGCAAAGATCATTCATTCCAGGGCATTTTCAGGAAATTGTGGTCTGAGGGGGAAACCAAGTGTGTGACTGTAAAATTCTTCATTAAAATCTCAGGAAGACCCAAGATGTTGCCCCAGAAAATAATTCAGTTGGTCATAGGTTTTAAACAATACTTACGGGCATTACCCCTCAGCAATCTCAGCAGAGTCCCACGGTGGAGAAGAGTCTGGCTTTTGTCTGAAGGTGTGAACTCAAATCACATTTCTCACAAGAGATCCAAAATGATTTTCAGAACACTGCATTGGCAGAAACAACACCTGTTTGGTTTGAAAAGGAGAGAGATGTGAAAAATGAAAAGGCCATTGGCCCCCAGAATTCTGTTTACAGGACCAAGGCTCAGAACATGTGCAGCTCCAGACATGGTCTGCCTCTCATTACAAAGGAACGATAATTCACAGGTTGGAAGCCAGAGCCCAGATGGTGGAGCCGGGAGCCATGCCTGGTTCGTTCTCTCTCTCATAGGACCTCAGTGTAGTTTACACATGAGAGGAACAAAGGTAGTTTGTGGTCAGAGGGTAGACTCTGCTGGTTTTAAAACATGTCCACAAATTTTTCGTACTCCTCTACTGGAAAATTAGCCTAAATCCTTTCTCTGTGGGCTGCACTTAGTGTCTGGAATGAATAGAACAGAAGTGTGTTACAATGTTGAGATCACATCACAAAAGGAGTGTGGCTTCCTCCTTGCTTTGCTCCTGGGTTGCTGTTGTCGGGAGAACTAGCACTCGGCGCCGTGCCTTAAGGGCACTGGAGCAGCGCTGTGGAGAGGTCTGTTGGATGAGGAACTGAGTCCTCGCTGAAAGCTGGGAAAGGACTGAGGGCTTCAGCCAATGCCTTGGGAATGAGCCTTCTCCAGAAGCAGACCCTCCAGGCGCAGTAGAGCCTTCGGGTGCCTGCAGCCCACATGACGCCTTGATGGCAATCTCATGAGAGATTTGAGCCAGGACTACTCAGTTTAGTATCTGCCAGATTCCTTCCCCATAGAAAATATCTGAGATAGTAAGTATTTACTGATGTTTTATATGTTACCAGCAATGGATAGCTAACAAAGAGGCATAGTGGAGATCATTAATAGTAGATATGTTTGCAGAAAAACAGTTGTTCAGTTCATTTTTAGGCAAGTCAGATTTGTTTTTCTGTGACATGTGTGATGCTTGAAACTTTAAACTTAGTAGGTCACAGGCCAAGCTTGTAGATGTTTGGCTTCCCCGATACCAGAGTGAAGCTGCCCTGAGAACAGGCACCGTCTTTTAATGTTTTGGTGAGTGCATGACTTGGGTACTTTGTGACTGTTCCTTTGAATTTTACCATTTGTCTTCTTCACTCATCTCAAAACAGCATTCAAGCTGGTAATTGAAATATTGTACTACATAGAAGCAAGATTCATTCATAGATTTACAGTGTGGGGAAAAAATGTTGGAGGAATTGGTAGAGACTTCTCCCTCCTCTATTTTCAACAACTGCATATCCAGGAGATGTGATTTTTTTTTAAATGAGAAGATATCCAAAGTATTTCTTGATATGTAGTTAGATATGTCTTTAGTTCTAAAAATAAAAAAAGCTGAAATCCATTAAGTATTTTCATGTATTTATGACTTTAATATATCACAGTTGAAAAATCTTAAAAGAATTTGACAGTAAAATACTTGAAAATGAAAAAACGTATTATTTCATAAAATTAACATAACTCATAAGTGAATCATCGACAATGAAACTTTCTAGCAGACATTTAGCTAGAACATTTTGTGCTACATATCATGTTGTCTATCTTTAATAAGAAGTGCAAACAGACAAATGAAGTAGCTTTGTTATTTTAGGTCACATTTACATCACTAAAATATCTTTTATAAAATTGCAGTGTCTAATAATGTTCTTTCTCCCCTCAGGGAATTGCTCCAAAGCTGGAATTTTCTACAACCTCAGTGATTACTGAATGTCTGATAAGTTCAAGGAAGTGCCGCACTCAGGTTAAAGTCATTTAAAGCATTTAATGGTTTATTTGTTCAGTTATGGGCATTTGGCAAGCATAATGTTTTTTAATTTGGCTTCAGCTGTTTTGACCTTTTTGGGGCAGTCTTTAGGTAAAGCAATTATCCTAGGTTTTAGCAGCTTGGTTCCATCTTGATAAATGCGAGAGGGAAGAGTTTGGTATGTGTGATAAGCGGTTTCATCGCGCGCGCGTGCGCGCGTAACTTGATGGGGCCTTTGGTGCAGGAAGTCAGGCTGTCAGAAATATGTTGGGATCAAGACATCTCACAAAAACCAAATTGGAGGCTTCTGTAAGTCTTAAATTACAGGTGACTGCAGAAAGTTCAAAGGATACCTGCTTAGCAAATATGGCCAGAGTTTGTCAGGCTGGACATTGGTGTTTAGCAAGTTATGATGTTTTGAGTGTCTCTGATTCCTTAAGGGACTATGGCTCAGTTTGGCAGGCACTCTGGTACTGTCAGATGAAGGAAAGCTTGGACACTCTAGCCAAAGTGCCTTCTCTATTTTCAAAAACTGCCTTTAGTAAGCTGAGATACCTGGGTCTAATATTCTGTTCTGGTCTAACTTCTCACTGAGTCACCAAGATCGTCTTGCTACCTTGTCCACAGCTCATCTACTAATTTATCGCTCATGTGGTTGCATTATGACCAGGTAACAATGCCCAGCCTGTGATGAAGAGCCAGTAGTGTGTAAAGCCCAGAGGGCCCAAAGAGGGCAAGCCTGGGCCTACCATGGAGAGAGGGGAGAGTTAATTTACTGCAGTATCAGTTTTAGGGGCAGTTTGCTGAGGATGATAACTGACTTAAGCTAAGAAAGGTAATGTGGATTTATAAAATTATCAAAGGAATCATTTTATTTAGCAAGATATTTAATAGAACACAGTTTGGCTACAGTTATTTACCTTTTTTTAAATGCAAGTTGAAGTATAGCTATTAGAGTTGTAACAAACCGTGCCTCCCAAATGCAGAGATACGTTTCTGACTTGCTTTGATATAAACACTGCGTGCTTATTGGAAATTGGAAGTTGTTACAGATGTCTTACCTGGACTCCGACAAAATTTTTCTCTCCCCGTTAGGATATGCCCTTCTAGTGGTGGAGAGAGAAGTCTCTCTTTGTCTGGAGTATAGCAATGTACACAGAAAAGTACACGCATTCTAAGTGTACACAGCTTGGTGGAAGTGTCCTTTCTAAATGTCAAACTGGCTCCCCATTAGTAATGTCATTGGACTTATGAAATAACATTTTCCTCTGGAAACTTTTGGAAAGACTCTTTTTATCTCACTATTTCAGTGTTGGTCATTCATTCTTTACTGAACAGAGATGTGAGAGAATAGGCTTTGATGTCAGACAGGGTTTAAGAAAATGTGCTTTGGAGTCACACGGGTTCAAGTTACTCACAGAGCTGCTTTAAGGATTAAATTAGAGAATATGTGTAGTGTACCTGGGACATAACATTTAGTTAATGAGTTTTGTGGCTATTACTAGGTTATTTTAATTGAGATAATTAGGGGAGGTCAGAGGCAGTAGATGAAATATAAAATAGAAAATTTTCTACTGTGTCCAAATTGGCACAGTAGAGTATATACATTTACACAAAAATTCTAAATGTGAAAAGCCAGAATTAATCTTATTCGACCTTATTTGAGAATGTAATCAGTCTACTTAAAAGTGAATATTAGTTACCATTAAAATTTCAATGGCTATAAAAGCAGCATTTTCAGATTCAAATATAAGAATGAGGCAAACAATTTTTATTGTTAAGAGATGAGTCAGTAAAATCATAAAAATTATTGAGATTATTTATGTTTATAATACCTATAATCTTTATTTCTTTTGGACCTTTAATAATTGGATGAATGGACTGAAAAAAATTAAGTATATTATTGTGATTTTTCTGGAATAAAACTAGCTCTATACTTATTTTTTTTTACCTCCTGCAAATTAGAATTTAATATTAAATATCAATAGTAGCTTTATGAATATGCTTGTTAACCTGCCATATCAGGTGGCCTTTGGTGTGTAAAAGTGCACTCTGAGTTAGTGGTGTAAAACAAAATGTTTCTCAGAGTTCTGTGGATTGGCTGGCAAGCCTTTTGCTCTGGACTGGCCAGGCCAGGGCTGAGTGATCCGGGGATGGCTTCGTTCACAGGTCTCCCAGTTGGCTGCTGTTTTCTTTTAGGGAAGGACTTTACATTTCTTGTAGTTGGTTTGATTTCAGCTGGGGCAATGGCCACAATCTCTCATCTAGTAGGCTGATTTGGCTCATTTTGGCTCTATCACATAGTGCCAGGCAGAAAGGCTTCTCAGGAGTATAAGACAGCAAGTACTTTTCAAGTCTCTGCTTATGTCACATGTGCTATTGTCCTTTGGCCAAAGCAGCGGCAGTTATAAAACCGCACCTGCTCGGAGTTTCACTGGCAGTGATAGGATGCATTAAGGATTGAGTAGAGTTAGACAACATGTATCTGAGTAGATACACCACAGTTTATAACTTCCTCTAGTAGTACTCAGCTTCAAAAACATGAAGAAAGAAGATGGGGTTAGTTACTTTAGGTTTGGTGTGATCACAGGTGGAATAAGTAGGAACCTGACAGCGTTGCCAAGTGGTCTATGATAACGAGTGCACCTGGGTCTGGTGGTAAGAGACACTAAGGGTGTGTGAAGGCCCAGTTCCTGGGCCACCTCCTCTGCAGGAGTGGCCCAGGGACTGAGGTACTGAGTGGGCAGGTCACAGAGTCTGTGTGAGTGGAGGGAACAGGTTGAGAAAGAGTTGTGGTGAGCAGAGGATCTTCAGAGTTTGGGATGCAGTGGATCTGCGTAATGATGAAATCTAAGACAATGTGCAAGAAGACAATTAATTAAAGCTGCGAAATAGAAAGTCTTGGTCCAAGGTTTTGGGAAGATTCATTTCTTGAACATTTTATTAAACCTTAAGATCCTTTCATGTGCTAACATTCCTGCCTTTGTGAGTCAGTGTGATGTCACAGAGGGAGATGAAATGGGGTAAGGTGGAAAAGCTCTGAATTACTTGTTGACGTCATTGAACAATGTGGGAAAAGCTCCAGGAGCATGTCAAAAGCTAAAGAAGAAAGATGATAGAATAATCGGATGTTGCTGGTTTGTGTAAAACTCATGGACTTATTTTTCCAATTAGGAAAATATTTTTTCCTGTTTTTCTACCTCTTAAAAATATTTGACTCTTCTCCCTTTTAGTTCACATTCCTATTTTATTTATTTATTTATTTATTAATAGAATAGGGAAGAGCATTGAGAAAGTAGAGAGTGGGGTAGAATTGGTGGGTTTTTTAAAGCAATTAATGTTAGGAGGATGTTCAGAGATTTTTAACTGCCCGTTTTTTCCTAATATTGGAAAGCTCATAATTCTACATAATGAGTGAAGAGAGGTCTTGTTTACTTACAATTCAGCTTTTAATGCATTTATAAGGTTGAAATTAAATAAAATTGTATCCTAATGCAAAAAAATTTTAGAAATATCACATTTGTTTTTCAAAATTTTAGACTGATAGCCATACTTTTAGAAGTTAAAATACTAGTCATTAATGTTTATAACATATATTTTACGCATTTTAGTTTTGTAACAACATGGAACCAGAATTAAGATGGTACAGTTTTCGGTGATCAAATTTTAAAGTTATAGTGTGGAAGAGAGCTTGAAATTCTAATCATTTTGTATAATCCAGGTATTATATTTTGTGGAAATATGTATAAATTTCTTCAGATTTTCACATTGTGCACATATGTTTATAATCATAGCATATGAATGACTTATTTTAATAATTTTCTTAATCAGACATATATATGTGTAACATCATTAAACAAAGCCCTGGTAAATTATATATCCATATATATACCCATATATCCAGAAAAAATATTTTTTCTGGCTTTGTTTCTTAGATTTTTCAAACAATTAAATATTAGGCTTTCATTTTCATGAAGAGCTTTTCAGGAAGGAAGTTTAATACAGTATACTTCATTAACTACTAGACAAAGAGTTATCTAAGAGTTATCTAAGAATATGGGTTTGACTTTTCCAAGGATCTGCACAAACAGGAAAGCCTGATCTAGTTGGGTTAAATTATACGTGCCATCTATTGCTTTTTAAAAGTGTATTATCTCTTTCTGTCTGTCTGTCTGTCTATCCATCTACCTACCTATCTTCTACCCAAATTAATTTTTATTTTTTATGTTTAGGATAAGTATATGTACCATACGGCTCCAGTTGAAAAATCACACGGCAGACTGCAAAGCAGATCATCAAGATCGCAAAAGAAGAAATCCAAGTCCCCTGAGAGAAATAAATATTGTATAAATGCAAAAAACTACGAACAGCCTACGATATCTTCAAAGTCACACTCTCCATCCCCCTACACAAAAAGACGCATGTGTGAGCTATCAGAAGACACCAGGCGGCGGCTGGCGCACTTAAATCTGGGACCCTATGAATTCAAAAAAGAAACAGATAAACCTCCATTTGTGATTAGACATGTATGTGTTCTCTTAAACATTTCCATTTGATTTAATCTGTTCTTTCTCAAAAACATCATTCTACAACTTCAACTTCTAGCCTATGTTAATAATTTTCTGTCCTGAACTGTTAGCCTAGCAATCTAAAATAGAAAATGATCTTAGAATAAGAGAGCATTTTTTGCCAGCCTTTACCCCTGACAAAGGTCAAGCTCCACAAAGATTAAGCACCACTATGAATGGCATGTGAAATCCTTCTTACACAGTGTACAGCATCCCGACTGCACACTGAACATAGATGCAATCGCCATTAGTACTCTGGCAGAGTAGGGATTTAAAAGAGGACCAAGTTTTCTCTATGAAAAGGAAGACCCCACCCCCTCTGCCCCCAGATTTTTTAAAATTATAATGGAAATTATGTCCTGTGGGTCAAGTCAGCCTTATGTATTGAACCGATCTTTGGAGGAAATTATTGTTTGATGGGGATGTTCCAAACCTGTGGAAGTGTGGAAAGTTAAGGCTAGCATAGTTTTAATCTTTCTGTACAGAAACCTGCTTTTGATGTGGTTTGCATTTAAATTATTGTGATTGCATTTGTCTCACTTCTGTAGAATTTATAAGTTCTAGTAAGAGTTCTTGTGTGTATGGTTGTTTGTGTAAACAATATCCAAATTTTATTTGCTTGTTTGATGGCAGTTTCAGAATGCTTTTAATTTTATATCTGTCCTCAATTGTAAATTAAATAGAAAAGAAAGGACATACTAGGTGCCTATGCATAAAGATAACCAGGAATGTTTTCTAGGTTAGCCACATAAAAATTGTTTAGGGAAATAAACTGCTCTTAAAATGTTTATTATGTTGTTTTTCACATCAGTGTTCAAAGTAGAATAATTCTAATATGGCTTGTATAAACTTTGACATTTTTATTAAAGTGATTTTCCTCTTAGCTTTTTCATGAATAGAAAGAAATGCATACTTCTAAGCCTGTAGTTAGAAAATTGCTTATCTTATTGTATAGGAAATTGGATTTTTCCAGTTGTATTTGTAAACATAAACATGTCTTCCCTCCAACACCCCCCCATAGCCATTCATTATTTTAAAAGCACTTAAGAAATAGATAACCAAACAAAATTTTAATTTGGTACATGCATATGCAAAATGTGAACACTTTTAGGAAAAACATTCCAGTTTTAGATACATTGTATGAAAAATAGCCTTAAAGAATATGGAGCAGTTTTAAGAAATCACTGCTATGCTCCCAAACAAACTGGAAAAGCCATTCCAGAAGAAACATTTTTTAAATTTATGCAGAATAGTATTTTATTTATGCAGAATAGGATTTTTAAAAATTATGATAAAATACACATACAAAATTTAGTCATTTTAGTCATTTTAAAGTATCTACTCTAGTGGCATTAAGTACGTTCACATTGTTCTGCAGCTGTCACAACTATCTCGTTCCAGAACTTCTTCATTATCCTAAAGAAAACCCTCTACTCATTAAGCATTCACCCTTTATTCTTTGTCTCTTCAGCCCCTGGCAACCACTAATCTGCTTTTTATCTCTATGGCTTTTCCTATTCTGCCATTTCACGTAAGTGGAATCATGCAATATCAGGGATGTTGCGCCAGGCTTTTTTCATGTAGCATAGTGTTTTTGAGTTTCCATCCATGTTGTAGCATGCATCAGTGCTTGATTGTTTTTATGGCTGAGCAATCCATTGTATGTGTATGAGGTCCATCTGGAAAAAGTCCAGCCATTGTTAATATAATGAGAAAGGTTTGTGTGACATCGATGTAACCTGGCAGCCAAGGAGAGTGGACGGAACACTCATGTGTGAACAATGATAACTTCACTGTATTAGTCAGTGGGGGTAGCAGATGCTGTTCAGTGAACATGGGTACTGTGTGGCCATTGCATTCAAAAGTACTGAATGAGTAAAACAATAACTAGGCATCAAATTTTGCATTAAGCTCAAATATTCCTCTGCAAAAACTACTCAGGTGATTCAGAAGGTCACAGTTATGGGCAACTGGTGATTGGCAGCTTCATCACGACAATGCGCCCACTCATGTATCACGTCTCATGTGGAGTTTTTTGGCAAAACATCAAATCACCTGGTGACTCAGCCCCACTACAGTCCAGATTTGGCACCCTGTGACTTCTGGCTTTTCCCAAAACTAGAATCACCTTTGAAAGGGAAAAGATTTCAGACTTTTGATGAGATTCAGGAAAACATGATGGGGCAGCTGATGGCAATTGGGAGAACTGTGTGAGGTTCCAAGGGGGCCTACTTTAAAGGGGACAGAAGTGTCATTGTCCTATGTACAATGTTTTTTGCGTCTTGTATTTTCTTCAGTAAATGCTCCTATTTTTCCTATTACATGGCTGGATACCTTCTGGACAGACCTTGTATATACCAAATTTTGTTTAACCATCACCTGCTGATTGGCATTTGAGTTGTATTCACCTTTTGGTTATGTGAACAGTGCTTCTGTGAACATTTGTACACATGTTTTTGTTTGAATAGCTGTTTTAATTCCTAATTGCTTTAATATCTAGGAGTAAAATTATTGGGCCTTGAGTAGTTCTATGTGTAACTGTGGAGGAATTGTTAAACTGTTTCCTGCAGGGGTTGCCCCATTTTACATTCTCACCAGCCATGTATGAGGATTCCAATTTATCCACATCCCCAACAACACTTGTTATTTTTCCATTTGTTTCCATTACAGCCATCCTAGGGGACATGGAGTGGTTTCTCATTGTGGTTTAGATTTGCATCTCCTTAATGACGAATGATAAGCATCTTTTTATGTGCTTATTCATCTGTTGTGTATTTTCTTTGGAGAGATGTCTATTCAAGGGTTTTTTTGCCCCTTTTTAAGGAGGTTGTTTATTTTTTTGTTGCTCATTGTGAGTTTTCTTTTTCTATTTAGGATTCTAGAACCTTATCAGGTGATTTGTAAATTTTTTTTCTCATTTTGTGGTTTCATTCTGTGGCTTGTCTTTTGACTCCTTTTTTTTATTTTAATTTTTTTTTAATTTTTTTATTGATTATGCTGTTACAGTTGTTCTATTCCCCCTTTATTCCCCTCCACCCTACCCCCATCCCCACCATCACCCCCCCTTTAGTTTATGACCATGTGTCCCAAGTCCTTTAGATTCTATATTTCCCCATGCTATTCTTGCCCCCCCATCTATTTTCTATCTACTGTCTATGCTACTTATTTTCTGTACCTTCTCCCCCCTTCTCCTCCTCCCACTCCCCTGTTGCTAACCCTCCTTGAGATCTTCATTTCTATGTTTCCACTCCTGATCTAGCTGTCCTTTTAGTTTGCTTTCGTTTTAGGTGTGGTTGTTAATAACTGTGAGTTTGTTGTCCTTTCACTGTTCATGTTTCTTTAACTTCTTTTTCTTAGATAAGTCCCTTTAACATTTCATATAATAAGGGCTTGGTGATGATGAACTCCTTGAATTTGATCTTATCTGAGAAGCACCTTATCTGTCCTTCCATTTTAAATGAAAGTTTTGCTGGATAGAGCAATCTTGGTTGTAGGTCTTTAGATTTCATGACTTGGAATACCTCTTTCCAGCCCCTTCTTGCCTGTAAGGTCTCTTTTGAGAAATCAGCTGACAGTCTGATGGGGACTCCTTTGTAGGTGACTGTCCCCTTAGCTCTTGCTGCTTCTAGGATTCTCTCCTTCATTTTTATCTTGGCTAATGTAATTACGATGTGCCTTGGTGTGTTCCTTCTTGGGTCCAACTTCTTTGGTACTCTCTGAGCTTCCTGGATTTCCTGGAAGTCTATTTCCTTTGCCAGATTGGGGAAATTCTCCTTTATTATTTGTTCAAATAAGTTTTCCACTGGTGGCTGTGCCTTTCCCCCTTCTGGTACCCCTATAATTCGGATGTTGGAGCGTTTAAAGATGTCCTGGAGGTTCCTAAGACTCTCCTCATTTCTTTGAATTCTTGCTTCTTGACTCTTTTCTGTTTGGCCATTATTTGCTTTCTTCTGGTCCACTCCATTGATTTGAGTCCCAGTTTCCTTTTCATTGCTATTGGTGTCCTGTGCAATTCCATTCATTTCAATTAGTTTCGCCTTCATATATTTGTCTAATTTGTCCGTATAATCAACCAGTTCTGTGAGGATCTTGATAACCAATGTTTTAAACTGTGCGTTTGTGAGATTTGCTATTTCTTCATCGCTTAGATTTATTTCTGGGGCTCTGAGATCCTCCCTGCGCCATTCTTGGTCTGTTCGGGCCCTTTAAGAAGTGGTGCCTTGGATTCCCAGGTCGCTGGGTTGTGACGCTGTATGTGGGGGCGTGGCCAGAGCGGGGAAATGGCGACCCCCTCTGCCGCTTCTCACAGCTGGGTGCGGAGGAGCAGTGCCTTAGGTGGTTCACCAGGGCCGGGCCGCTCAGAGTCGCTGGGTTATGACGCTGTATGTGGAGGTGGGGTCAGAGCAGGGAAATGGCGGCGCCCTCCACTGCCGCTTGCCGTGGGGACCTGCCGGCCGGGTCCAATCGCCCACTCCCTCGCCTGTCCACCCGCGCACAAATGCGCGACCTCAGTCAACACGCAGCCCCAGCCCGGCTGTCTCCCCCGCGGTCGCTCGCCTGGTTGCTCGCGTGGTTGCTCACTGGGTCCAACCCTGCGCCTGGATTCCGCACCTGAGCCCGTCTGACCGAGTTTTCCTGTGCAACCCTGCTCCGCCAGCCGCTGGTTTCGCCCCTTACCGGTCAGGCTGAAGAATTTGTTGTTAACGGACTTCCGAAAAGTTCAATTTTCTGTGTTCTGGCTGTGTTTTCTGTTGCTAATATTTAGTTTTCTCTAATCTTGGTTGTGTGAGAAGGCACGGCACATCCACCTATGCCTCCATCTTGGCGGAAGTCTATTTTAATTTTTAAAACTTGTAAAATATACACCATATGAAATTTACTCTTTTAAATGTTTTTAAGTGTACATTTTAGCAAGATGAAGTCCATTTACATCACCACTGTCTCTCCAGAACTTCTCTCATCCAGCTAAACTGAAACTCTGTGCCCGTTCAGCAGTAACCCCCCCACTCCCATTTTCCTCAACCCCTGGCAACTGCCTGTTCTACTTTCATGCTTATGAATTTTACTGCTTTGGGCGTCTCATGGAAATGGAATGTACAGGGTTTGTCCATTTGTGACTGGCTTATTTCCCTTTTTATACTGTCATCAAGGTTCATTCATGTTATAGCATTTGTTGAAATTTCCTTTTTACTGTGGGATTATATTCTTTTATATGTATGTGCCTCACTGTATTTATTTATCTGTTGATGGACACTTGGCTTGCTTCTACCTGTTGTCTATTGTGAATAACACTGCTGTGAACTTGATGTCAAAATATCTGTTCATTTCCCTGCTTTCAGATGTTTTGGGTACATACCCAGAAGTGGAATTGCTGGGTCATACTGTATTTTTATTTTGAATTTTTTTGAAGAAATTTCATACTGTTTTCCATAGTAGGTGCACTAATTTACATTCCCACCAATAATACACATGGATTTCAATTTCTCCACATCCTCATCAACACTTATTATATTGTTTTTTACTCTGTATAGTGATCCTAATGGACATGAAATATTATCTCATTGTCGTTTTGATTTGCAATTTCCTAATGATTAGTGTTGTTGGATATTTTTAATGCACTTACTGATTATTATATCTTTTGGAGACATGTATGTCTGAGTCTGTTGCCCACTTTTAATTAAGTTTTTAATTTGTAGAAGTTTATATATTCCGTATGTTAATGCCTTATATTTCAGATAATTTGCAGATATTTTCTCCTATGGGTTGTCCTCTCACTCTCTTGGTATGGTTCTTTAATGCACAAAGTTTTAAATTTTCATGATTAGAACTGTCTTTTTTACACAGATTTATATCACTCTGACTTTTTATTTTGCTCATTCTGTAAGCTATAAAGCACTCAGCATTCTGGGCTCTGAACACAGCCAAGTAAAGATGCTGTTTGAGTTCAAAATCTGTTTGCTAAGGAGATAAGTAGCAAATGGCTAAACTTTTTTTTTTTTTTGATGCAAATGGCTAAACTTTTAAAAAATATTTTAAAATTTCATATAAGCTTCACTGTTTTTTTTCCATTGTCATCTAGTCCTCTAATATCCCCTTTCCCCGGCAATCACCACACTGTGGTCCATGCCCTTGAGTCCTTTTTCCTCTTTGCTCAATCCCTCCGCCCCCTGGCCTTCCCTCCCCACTAGCTGGCATCCTGTTTTCCATCTATGAGTCTGTCCCCATTTTCCTCATAGTTCAGTTTCTTCATTAGATTCCACGTATGAATGAAATCATATGGTATTTATCATTCTCTGACTGGCTTATTTCACTTAGCATAATGTTCTCTAGGTCCATCCATGCTATTGCAAGGGTAAAATTTTCCTTTTTTTTTTTTTATGGCTGAATGGTATTCGATTGTGTAGCTGTCCCCAGCTTTGTAATGAAAAGCAAACTAGGCAACGGAGTAATAGGCATTTCAACTATATATCTGGTCACTTAAAATTAGGCTCAAATATATAATTAAGCATTTCTGGAGTTTAATATCAATTTTGTTTAAAGATGAACAGCAAATACTCCTCTGTGCTTTGACTTTGGAACCCACCTGAACCCTATGGTCACTGTCATGGTGACCTGAAGATACACGGTCTGTGTACTTCAGCCAGTTTTCTGGTGCCATAGGACTGAATCCCTCTTTTACACTGAATTCCTCTTTTCTAGGTCGATCCCCCAAGTCCCAGGGCTGATCACTTTTTGGGGTCTTCTGGCAGAGACTGTGAAAGAGATGGATGGTCCAGGATGCACAATGGTAAGCTGCAAGTTCTCTCTCTCTCTGTTGCTTTATTGCCGTGGCTACTGTCAAGCCTTTAACTTGGCGTCAATGAACAAAAACAGAATCTTTGCTGCATTATTGGATACTATGATGTAGTGCTACTTTTTATAGCTTGTGGGGCACCTATACAGGTCCTCCGTAAAAACAACAGAATTTCTGTGCTGCTCTAAACCATCTTCCTCTTTGAGATACAAAGCGTGTATTCCTTTCTAGTAAAAGAACAACTTGATTTTGTTTTGCTCAACAGTTTCTAAGTTTATTTAACTCTGAAACCCTTTCCTCGCCTTAACATGTATTAGTTTGTGGAACAGACTTTGGGGAATACTTCAGTAAAAAGAATTCACATAGTAGATTTTGGCCAGACATTTACACGTATATTAGAATATTTGTTCTGTCACTTATTTACAAAGTGGGCATTTGTGAATAAATCCTTAACTACTTTGATAATCAGTTTATTTATCAAAGAATGAAGATTACATGGTTAATATTACCTAGTGAACTTCCCTAGCACTGGACTTACAAATATTATCTGTCATCGTAATATATAAATACTATCATTTTTATTTTTGAAAAGATTACATCCTTCAGGTTTAGTTTATAAGAATACATCTTTAAACTTTAGTCCTGGTCCTAATGGTTAGATAAGCATTTTCTGAAATTCAGTATGAAGATGATTTTTATGAAGGTTAAGTGGTATTATATAATTAAGGATATTTGAGTCTTAATATCTATAGACATTGGCTAGTCAGTTCAGCAAGCATTCACCAACAGCCCTTAAGTTAATTTACTACACACTGACAAAGGCAGACAAAGAAAAATGAGATAGAGTGAAAAAACATAATCGTGACATGTCATGAGCTTTGTCCCTTTCTCTTTCTAAACTGTAGTGCATAATCTCTTTTTATTAAGTGGGGAAATGAAACAAGATCTCAGAGAACATTCACAGTCTGGGCTCATTTATTTTTCTTTACTTTTTTAGCACGAACAGGGAGATAGATGTGGTAATCAATGTCTTTTATATCTAGAATGTCAGATTAAGTGAAATTAGGAACAGATGTAATACTGTTTCTCTCCTTAGAAAAAATGTACAGACATGGATAATAAGCTTTAAGAATAAAAAAGTCAGGAACAACTTCAATATTGATGCTATTTTGAAGATGCTTTTGGAATGCACTTAATTGTCTGATTTTTCTTGACAGTTATATATTTGCTGAATATCAGACTTACATAAAAGTTGAGGGAGTGCAAAGAATTCTCATGTACCTTTCAGAATCCACACATACTAGTATTTGCCATTCTCTCTCCCTTTATCTTTTTCCTCTCCTGCCTTCATCTGTGTGTGTGTGTGCCTGCGTATAAACATTTTTGACAAGGATAATGCTCTGGAATGAATTGTGTCCCTCCAGAATTCCGGTGTTGAAGCTCTAGCCTCATTTGCATGATGTTTAGAAGTGAGGCCTTGGGGAATTATTTAGGTTTAGATGAGGTTATGAGCATGGGGTTCCCTTGATAGGGTTAGTGCCCTTGTAAGAAGAGACACCAGGGACCCACTTTCCCTCTCTGCCATGTGAAGACACAGCTGTAAGGCAGCCATCTTCAAGCCAGAACAAGAACCTCTGTAATGGCACCTGGATCTGAGACTTCCATCCTCCAGAACTATGAGAAATGAAAGTCTGTTGTTTAAGCCACCCAGTCTATGGTATTTTGTAATGGCAGTGTGAGGAGACCAAAAAGATATCATCTGTGATGCAATTATCAGAGCAGGGAATTAACAGTGGTTTAAGAACCATAACTAACCTGTAAATCTAAACCAGATTTTGCTACTTGTCCCAATAATATCTTTATAGCAAGAGAAATCCCACATCATGCATAGCCTTCAGTTGCCATGTCTCTAGTTTCCTTTAACATGGTCCAGTTTCTTTGATTTTCTTTGTATTTGACATTGGCACTGTATTCGACATTGATAATTTTGAAGAATACAGGCCAGTAATTTTGAGGTATGTGTTACTCCTGGTGCATAGTGTCAGGAGGTATGTGATGTTGCTTTGTTACTGGTGATAATGATTTGCTCATTTGATCAAGATGGTTTATGCTTGGCTTCTCCATCATAAAAGTGCTATTTCATTTCTATTATGGGGAGATACCTTCAGACCATGTAATATCCTATGACTCCTCAACTTTGACCCTGTTAGCACACATTGATGATTTTTGCCTGAAACAATTTATTTCTGTGATGTTTGCCAAATAATGACTTTAAAATATTTCATTACTCTTTTTACATTTATTGCTTTCCTTTCTACTATTGTCACAGGTGGGCACAGGTAACTAGGTTCTTGGTGATCAGTACAAAGAATTGAACGGAACACCCAGAGTTTATAGCAGAGAACATGGGCTGTTCAACTCCAAGCAGAAATTGACCTCAGGGGCTGGAGGCATTCTGTTTTTATAGGGTAGATCCTTCCTGGCTAGTTTTGGCGGGCTTTTATTGCACATGTACAAGTAGTTGTATTACTTTAAAGCTACTGTGCATGTGGTCTCCCATGATTTTCCTTGATTGGCCACCAGAGAAGGGGTTGCACAATGTTACTGAGTGGACCCCCCTTTCTCCTGGGGTCGCCCTGCACTATGTTCTCCTTGCTCGCAGCCAGGGAACTATAGCTCTCCATGTCAGAGGTTGGTAAAAAGAAAAGAAATTATTTATTCAAAAGTTATACAGACTTAAGAGTAATGACTTAATGTCTTCATTAAAACTCCCAAATCCCTTAAAACACCCACATACACACACAGTCCTTCCTTCCCCCCTTTGCCAGTTCTGGGTTACCGTATCTCAGGAAAAGAAATAGAAGTCTGTGGCTCAGATAGCCCCCAGTTCTTCCCCATAATCCATGCTCAGCTGGCAGGCCTCCCTTGATTCCCAGCACCATCAGCTGTGTCACCAGGATCTCCAGTTCTTAATCTAAAACCACATGGCACCCTCTCCCGGTCCACCAGCAAGAGTCCTTTCACCCCTTTCCTTCCTGTAGCATCTCTCCTGCATTCTTCCGAGATGCTAAGAGAGAGCTTTGCATCACTGCTACATCTTGCTTTCTGGCTTCCTAAGCTGCATGGCAAAGGGAGACTTAAAGTCATGTGGTTCTTATCTGCCAGAGCCACTTGGTAATTCTGTCATGGCTGCTGTGCCTGGGTTTAAATCCCAGCAGCAATCTTCCTCTGCAGCCCCATTTCTGACTCCTCCCACAATCAGCTACACTTGCCAGCACTCCCATATTTTTCCAGCTGTACTGGGCTGCCATAGTAAGTCTGAGCAGGAGTGGCCCTGTGGTGTGGAGCCAGTCATCTCCAAGCTCTCACGCTGGCTCTGTAACCAGGGGAAGTTGCCTCCCAGTTACATCCTGGGTGGAAGTCACTTCCATCTCCCTGGCTCAAAGCATGGCCACAGCTATTTAACATATCTATGAAACCAGTTAAAGCTTATAGATATGTTAAATGACTGTTCTAGAGGTTATCTGCAAAACTATTACTATGCAAAACAACTCTCAATGGCCCTGCTCTATGTGTCCCATCCCCCAGTTCAGACTTGTGGGGGTAAGGACATCCCATATTTTTTATAGTTCCTAGACACCCTGAGTTCTGGACCCCATTACAAATCCTTCTTTTGGGGACCCCCTGGCTGCACCTTCTTACACTATAAAAAGGTTTCTTTCTTATTTCTTTTATTTTTATGCCTCTGTTCTTTGACTAATATTTTTTTCCTGGTTGGCAGCTGAGTGGTTGTGATTTGGGTTTTCATAAGCTATTTGAATGCATGTGAGGATTTCTTATGATAAAGTTTCTAAAGCCATAAATTTTCACTTGTAACTATCTTACTTTAATATAAATTCTTCTTTCACACTTTCTTGCCAAATTATCTTGCCTAATCTTTTTGGTAAATATATTTTTTATTTAATGATTTTTAGAGGGGGCGGGGAGAAAGAGAGAAACATTGATTTGTTTCTCCACTTATTTATGCATTCATTGGTTGATTCTTGTATGTGCCCTGACTGGGGATCGAACCCCCTACCTTATGCATAGTAATTCTTAAATTTTTATGGGATATCATTTTTATCACCATTGATTATTTTAGTCCTTGTGATAATCATATGAAGAGGAATTTAACTATTTTCAATTAAGAAAAATGACAGAGACTTGGAGAGTTTGACTTGTTGGAGAGTGAACATGTGTTCTGTAGAACAGCCATGTTCAGTCTAGGATGCATGTCTTCCAACCCCAAGTTCTTCTTTTGCTCCCTCCTGCTACTTTCTCCACATTCATCTGGCTGTATTTTAGTTAGATAAAATTTTCAAGTACATTTTCTCTACCTGGAATTTCCATGGTATGTAATTCTAATTGTAATTTGTGCAGTCTTTTTGAAGAAACTCAGTATGTCTTGCACCCCAGTTATGTTTGGAAGCTTTACCCAGTCATTTGTGTATTTCGAAGAGGAAATCAAGGTGTCATCCCAGCCTCATTTATTTGCTTAGAATTTAGGAGAGATGTTAGACTCTGTCTCCCCTTGGAGGAAACTTGTCTTATTCTCATTTGAAGATTCTTTTATGAGTTTCATTTCTACCTAAGATTGTGATCTGTTATGAGCTTCTACTAATTCTTTTGTTTGGTGGTTATTATTTGTAAAGGAAAATACAGGGTGGGGCAAAACTAGGTTTACCGTTCTGAATACATGAAATAGTTTATTCTTATGTTATTATTTATTAATTACTGTCTTATTTTCCATAAAACAATAGTAAACCTATTTTTGCCCCACCTAGTAAATTGGAAATAATACTCAAATCCTAATATACTTGAGTAGATAGAAATACATAGTAAAACTTATTGCATGTAGTCATTATATAAATATTTATTGGAAAAATATCTTGTTTGTTTCAGCTTTTATTTAAATGTGTTCCTCTTCCATTTAGCAATAGACAGCTTAGTTTCTGTATTTGTTTTTTACTAAACATTTTTGTACTTTTATTAGGTAAAATTTATCTACCATAAAGTTTACCTGTTTTAAGTATACAATTATAATATTTTTTGAAGATTTGATTTATTTATTTTTAGACAGAGAGGAAGGGTGGGCAAAAGAGAGAGCTAGAACCTTCAGTGTGTAGTTGCCTCTCACATGCCCCCTACTGGGGACGTGGCCCACAGCCCAGGCATGTGCCCTGACTGGGAATCAAACCAGCGACCCTTTGGTTCACAGGCCGGTACTTATTTCACTGAGTCGCATCAGCCAGGGCCAATTAAATGATTTTTAATAAATTTGCACAATCCATTTTTTAGATATTTCCCTTATTCATAAGAGTTTCCATATACCCATTTGCAGTAAATCTGCATTCCCACCTAAGTACCTGGACTGTTTCCACTTTTTGGCTATTAGAAATAATGCTCCTGTGAACATTTGCATTGAAGTCTTTGCATAGACATATGTTTCCTTTTCTGTGGGACACCTAGGAATGAAATTGCTGGCTCTTTTTTGCTTAAAACTTTGTTTACTTTTTAAGCAATTGCCAACTGTTTTCCAGTGTAGCTACTCCATATACACTCCCAGCAGCAGTGTATGAGGTTTTTAGTTCCTTCACATCCTTGTCAACACAGTTACTGCCATTTTTTATTACTGTTCTAGTGGGTGTGCAGTCCTGTCTCACTGCAATTTTAATTTGCATTTGACTAGTGGCATTGGGTGCTTTTATGTGCTTATTAGTCATTTAGATGTCTTTTTTGATGATCATCACTCTTCTAGTAATTGGTAAGTAGGGAACTTGCTGTTTCCTAAACTTCAGACCAGAAAAAAGTGAGGAGGAAAGTCTGAGACCTTTGTTACTGAGACTTTGACAGCTGTAGATAGAAAAGATGAAAATTTTAGAGGTCAGAATAACTAGTTTCAGGTGAATATATCACAAGCGATAAAGAGATAGAAAACATTTTATCATGTGCCTTTACTTTTTAGAAGGTTGATCCCCTGAGAGATATTACACCCTGGTTTTATTTTACCAAGCTGTACATACATCTTAGCTTTGTTGCTAGTTATAGGGACTGAAATACGGAAAAAGCCCTGGCCCTACTCTCTGTGGGATTCACAGGAGAGCAGAGCTGGCCAGCCTTAGAATGTTACCTGGGCATTGAGATAGCAGTAGGGTAAGTGCTGATAAAGGACACCAGGACCCCACTCTTTGAAGGTTCTAATAGGTATATACATTCAGCATTAGGTGTTTTAGTAATAGCTCTATATACCAGAATGGGATGTAATTTCTTGAAGTTAGGAAAAAGGGAGACAATAGTACCCTTCTTACTAGGGTACTATGGAGGTTGCCAAGATCAGGATTGACTTGTGGGGAACACACAGCAGTAATAATTATTAGTATGGGGCTCAAGAATTACTTCGATAGAAACAATGGATTGATAGAGAGCTGCTGAATTTTAGATTAAAGCTTTAAGTCCTTCTTGCTTAAAATCAGGATGGATCCTTTAGGACTGAGTCATATCTAAACCTGTTGAGTGAAAGCCACCTATGGAGAGAGGAAGGATGCAGAGACTCTAAGTTATTAAACTAAAATGGATTTTAATTTCTGCATTAGATAGTTGCTAGGAAATGTTTTAATGACTGGTTGCCACTTTTGTTTTTAACCTGTACTGTTAGTCACTACTTCATATTTGATTGATTATGTATCATATCCATTTGCTTAAAAAATCCATAATGTGATGTCCTTTTTGAGACAAAGTCATTTTTATTCTGTGCGCTTATTGTTTTATTGCAAGGAAATCTACCATTCTCGTATTAGTGGAAGTAGCACTGAACTAGTCAAAGACCTCAGTTCCATACTTGTTAGCTATATAGGAAGTCAGCCTCCTGAAATGTAGAGTAGAAATAACAGTCCTTTACATTGTATTAGTCTGTTTAGGCTGCCATAACAAATAGCCATGAACTGGGGGCTTAAAAGTGGACGTTTATTTTATCACAGTTCTGGAGGCTTGGAGAGTACAAGTTTAAGGACTAGCTAGGTAGATTTCATTCTGAAATCCCTTCTAGCTCACAGGCAGCTACCATCTCACTGTAGGCTCACATAACCTCTTCTTCGTGTGTGAATGGAGAAAGAAATTGAGAGAAAGAGAGGGAGGGATGGAGGGAGGGCAAGGTCTTTGATGTCTCGTTTTCTAAGGTCATGTTTTCCATCATGAGAGCCCCATCCTCATGACCCCGTCTAACCCTAATTACCTCCCAAAGGTTTGATCTCAAATACTATCACTTTGGGGATTAGGGCTTCCACATTTGAATTTTGAGAGGACAAAAACACTCAGTTCATCATACCTATTTCTTGGAGTTATTAAAGAATCACTAACATTTCTTGAATGTGTTTTCTGCTAGTTTCTATTCTAAGTACTTATATTTCATTGGTTACTCCAAGAATTTTAGATACTGTCATTTATTCTAAAGAAACCTGAGGTTTAAAGAAGTAAATTTAATCAGTATCACATACACATACACAATCTGAATTAGTTCTTTCATACTTTTCTCAAATGTGACCCATTTATTAAGGCCCAACTCATCTCTTTCCTTCCTCCTTTAGGAAATTCTTCTGATTTCCTTCAACCTTGAGAGATTAGTCTTGATATGACTTTTTAAATAGTATTAATTGTCTATATCATTCTGATGTAGTCTTGTCTTTTATGGTGCTTTTACTCAGTTTTGTACAATTTTACCAATGTAATTTATAAGCACTTCACACCCATGGGCCATGAGTCTTATCTCCTTTATTTGAAGCATTTAGAATACAGTAGTAATTACTGGTAAGTGTGATTAAATGTGAACATTGAAAAATCTCAGATCACAGTAACAGATTAATTTGTAAAAACAAAAGAAAATTATAAATCTGTCTGAATTAGAGTGAGTTTATAAATGGTTTCTGGAGTACAGAACATATACAAGTATTTTAATATATTGATATTTTTAATATTAGGTTAGTGGCCAGAAGTAATAGATACCACATCCAGAAATTATTACTTTAATTTTCAAATAGCATGTTTGGAGAGTTAGTCTCAGTATCCTTATAATTCTTTTATTTCTTCTGCTGTTTGTGGCCATGCTGTGCATTAGACTTTACAGGAGAGGGGTTGGGCTGTGATTTATTTTATAATTTTGCAAAGCACTTGAAGGAAGTTGAATCTTTCTGAATTAAGTGGTGAAAGTTTCCTGGTGTGGAAGACATTAACATTTTACTAACTCTTTATCCTTGTTCAGTGCACTTGGAAAACAAACAACATTTTGTGTCATTAATGAAAGCAAATTAATTGACTGAATACAGACTACCCTAGGTCTTTATTTATATAGCCATTGTTTTCTGGACAGAGCAGTTTAGAAGGTAAAATATAGGATACTTTTGACCAGAATGTGGGAGTAAAGAAGTAGAATTGTGAACTATGGCTCTAATTTGCATAACTGTCCATGTAACAGATTATAATACTTACAGGTTGATTCTTGAAAGTTACTTAAATAATGAGTAAAACCCAAAATCTGCATTTACAATGTAGTGGTCTTTATTTTAGGGGGAGATTTAGAATAGTTTTCTAATCCACTTTGTTACAGATACTGTGCTTGGGACTTTGATAAGCTGTATAATTTAATCATCACTGTGACACTCTGAAGTAAAGTAAGCATTGCCTTCATACTTTTAAAAAGAGGAATGAAACAGATTAATTATATAACTTGACCAAAGTGACATATTTGATAAGTGGTGGAATTAGAAATTGAACCCCAGCTTGTTTGACTTAGAATTCGATAGTAATGATGTTGATGACAGTGTTAGCATTGAGTTAACATTTATTTTATTACCTTGCATGTACTATCTGTTGAATGTAATCTTTAAAACAGATTATGAGTGAGGCACATCAGCCAGATGAGGAATACGAGCCGCAGAGAGCTCAGTTTGGCCGATGTTGTACAGAAGTCCCGGGGCCGGACTGCGGTGTAGGTCTAGTCAACACCGCCCGTACGCGAAAGGATGCCACGGCCTCTAAAACCGGCCCTGTTTTCATAGTACAGACTGATTCTGGCATCATCTCCTAGAACATTTGACAATATCTATTAAATCTCTATATTCAAATTGCATGTCATCATAAACTGACCTATCAACTAAAAACTATGTTTTATTCATATCAATTTCATAACCATTTATGTAAACAAATGGGTTAATCAACTAAAAATTATTCTGATCTATATTCAGATATTTTCTACTCTAATGAAATTAGTATTTATGAAATCATTTAATTATTGAAGAACTAATACAAGTTTTAATTGGTTGCTTACCATCTTTTCTTATGTAACATTGAAGGGTTTTAAGATATTTCTGAAATCTGCTATATGCATTATAATCATAGAAACAGTAGTAGTAGCAGCAAAAAGCAAACATGAAACCAATTTTTTTCATGAAATATTTATAGTTTCTTTTGTATATCCTTTTTCAGATCATTCTCATCTTGGCAGCTACAGACCCAAGGATTATAAGGTATGTAGTATAAATTATAGAGTAATAATTATCCTTGCTTTCAGATAAAATGTAAGTTGGAGATTATCATAGTGAAAAAATATACCAACAATAATTGTCATATCATGAATATCATTGTTTTGGCTACATTGTCAAGTGTTAGAATAGACTTTTCATTACATGTCTTCCTACAAGTATGTTGTGGCTTTCGATTGTTCAGTTGGTTTAGTTACTTTCTAAATGTGTTTGTGTGGATATGTGTATGAGAGAGAGATGGCGAAATTGGTTGTCACTTTTAGTAGTACCTTGCACAGTATTATTTATAGACTTCAAGCATTCACAGGGCATCCTCATAATAAAGTTTGTAATACAAAAGTTAAGGATTAGTGGGCCCAAGTCTGGATAAATAAACAGTTATTTGATAAGGAAAGGATTTGTCTAGTTGATTGATCTGTTGTCTTGAGAAAGGAACTGTTTGTCCAGATTGAAGATCTCTCGTTTTAAGAAGGGAGCTGATTGATGATTGAGCCACCTGTTGTTCAGGTAAATGTTTTATGGGAAGGTCCTGACACAAATAATGAAGTTATTTACTGGCTTGTAACATTTTTCCTTGGGAAAGGATTTCCTGTAATTCATGGTAAAGTCAAGTTGAGGTAGGTGGGCCTCGGTTCCTTGTCGATAGTTAAGCCATATAAATGCAATGGGTCTCAGTTCTCCTGCTTCACTAAAGCTATGTTTTCCCATTAATGTTACACATTGTTAGAATTACTCCTAGAAACGTCATAGCTTGTTTCCTGTTGCAAATAGTATTTTATGTAAAATTACATTCCTTGTGTGTTACTGATGCATGGGTTTGAAATTGATTTGCATGTAACATTCCTGTCATAGATACCGATATTTTAATAGAGGAAACCATATCATCTACAAATAATGAATTTTCGTACCGTCTTTCAGATTATTTCTTTGTCTTACGAGGATCTTCAATACAGTGTTAAATAAAATTGGTTTGTAGTGGATGTGGCACAGGCACTTGTTACTTATGGCTCTTACTCTGTGCCTGTCATGTTTTCAAGCCCCTTGCAGGTATGTGGGGGCCTAGTTCCAGCCAGTAGGCTGTGAGTGGAAGGTATGTGGATCACTTCCAGGATGGAGCACAGAAGAACCGATTTGAATTCTTTCCTTTTACAGTGACAATGAGACCTTGTGTTCTAGATGGCACAGCTGTGAAGTTTTTCAGCGTGTCTCTTGGGCAGTTTTGTGAAATGTGAATTTTCTTTTGCTAACCTGTATTACTGTAAAGCACAGGGAACAATGAACTTTTATTATGTTAAGCCCTGATTTTCAAAATTAATTTGCTGCTGCAGTGTAGCCTAATGTGTTGCAGCCTAGACTAATGAAGTGTGTGTTCTTGTCTCAGTCCTGTCTTTGACAGGGTCATGTCCAGGGCTTCACGCCTACGAACAATTTTTGCAGTAGATTTTTGTTCAGTATACTTTAGCAAGTTAAGGATGTTCCCTTTGAAATTCCTTGTTTGCAAAGAATATCTGTTTTTAAATTATAAGTGGATGTTGAATGTTATCAAATGTGTTTTTTCAGTATCTTTTCAGTTGACAATGATTTTTTTGTAGTTAATTGAACATACTTTCTAATGGTACCCTATTCTTGTATTCTGTGGATAAACCCAAATTAGTCATGTTATATTCTTAACATTATTTAATTTAATTTTTAATATTTTATATAAGATTTTCCCCACATATGCCACTATTGAGGATAGTTTATAAATTATACTTCCCTTGAAGGGTTTGGTAGAACTATTAGGATCACATCATAATAGGTGAGGAATTTTTCTTTCTTGGGAGTCAGTTGGTCCCTTAACTCTGTGTTTTGGGTTGTCATTACATTGGGTGGTGAGCCCATCTTCTGTGGCACTTTCCGTATAGGCATCCAGTGAGGCCTGAGCTATGGGAATTTTCCACTTGTTTCTGTCATGGACCTCTCCTATGTCACTGGCCTGGGACCCTCCCCACTTAGTAGCTTTTAACTTTGCTTCAGTTTTCTCTCCTGTAAGGTGTAGATCACAGGTGGCAAACACAAGGCCTGTGGGCTGAATCCAGCCTTCCACTTGTTTTATACGGCCCGGCACCTTGTTTCTACCTGGTGGCAGCACTGACCTCTCACTTAACTGTTAAGGAGTAGTTACATTTATACAGTCCTAACATTACATTTGGCCCTTTGAAGGCAACTGCAAGGCCAATGTGGCCCCCCAGTGAAAATGAGTTTGACACCCCTGGTGTAGATAATAAAAATATCTCGTAATATTGTTGTGTGGGTTAAAATTATTCATGTAAGTGCATAAGAACAGTGATCTAAGAAGGGAGGGTTTCCCACACCTCAATAGAATTATTTATTTTTATTGCATTATTTTTGAATTCTATAAATTCTCTAGTATAAAGAAAGTACATCATCTTTAAAGCAAACCAGATAGTTTAGCATATGAGTTTTTAAATTGTATAAGATAGAGTCAGTCATTAACTTACTATAGGATTCACTGAGACTGTTTCTGGCAAACTGGAGAAACTGGTCTAAGTTACCAGACTTGTTTTTCTTCCCTTTGAATCAGAACCATACTTTCTTCTTACCATCCTGGAAGTAGTGGCTCTACTGTGTTTCTTTCTTACAGTCCTTATTCTCAATGGCTTCCCACTATTTCTATTAGAATTATTTGTATTTATTTGTTAAATTTTATGGCCCGTTACAAAGGAGAAATTTTAGAGCATGTAGTAACAGGTAATAAATACAATTTCAATAAATATTTGTTATATAAGTGAATTCCCTGGTTCCCATTATAATTAGTAGTTCATTCTTTCTTTCAATAACTTGAATTATACTTAGTAGTTAATTCTTTCTTTCAATAACTTGACCTTGGAGTTCCTGTAAGTATAAAAATGATGTGGCCATCAATATGACTTAACTTATTAACTTACTATGTAACTTCTCAGGAATCTTATTTTATAAGTGTGGTAGAATCAAACCATTTTTTAACAAATTATTTTATTGTTGTTCAAGTAGAGTTGTCTGCATTTACCCCCCACCACTGTTCCCCGACCCCAGCCATTCCTACCTCCCTTCCCAGATTTTACCACCCACCTTGGTTTTGTCCATGTGTCCTTCATAGTTGTTCCTGAAATCCCTTCCCCGCATTATTCCCTTCCAGCTCTCCTCTGGTTACTGTCAGATTGTTCTTAATTTCAGTGTATAGGATTATGTTTTGCTTGCTTGCTTATTGTTGATTAGATTCCATTTAATGGTGAAATCATATGGTAGTTGTCCCTTCCCACCTGGCTTCACTTAGCATAATGCTCTCCAGTTCCACCCATGCTATCTCAAAGGGTAGGAGCTCTTTCATTCTTACTGCTGCTTAGTATTCCTTTGTGTAAATGTGCCATAGTTTTTTGATGCACTCATTTACTGATGGGCACTCAGGTTGCTTCCAGCACTTGGCTATTATAAATTGTGCTGCTATGAACATTGAGGTACATAAGTTCCTTTGGATTGGTGTTTCTGGGTTCTTAGGATATAATCCCAGCAGCGGAATTTCTGGGATGAAAGGCAGTTCCATTTTTAGTTTTCTAGGGAAATTCCGTACTGTTTTCCATAGTGGTTGTACCAGTCTGGATTCCCACCAACAGTGCGTTAGGGTTCCCTTTTCTCCACATCCTCTCTAACACTTGTTGTTTGTTGATGTGGTTATGATGGCCATTCTCATTGTTGTTTTAATTTGCATGTCTCTGATAGCTAGTGATGTTGTGCATCTTTTCATATGTCTCTGGGCCCTCTGTATGTCCTCCTTGGAGCAGTGTCTGTTCCAAGGTGTCTTTTGCCCATTTTTTTTATTGGGTGGTTTGTCTTTCTGGAATGGAGTTTTATGAGTTCTTCATATATTTTGGAGATCAAACCCTTTTCCAAGGTATCATTGGCAAATATGTTTTCCCCTGTAGTTGGTTCTCCTTTTAATTTATTGCTGTTTTTCTTAGTCATGCAGAAGCTTTTTAATTTGATGAAGTCACATTTGTTTATTCTTTCCTTTATGTCTCTTGCTCTAGGGGACATATCAGTGAAAACATTGCTGCATGGAATGTCTGAGATTTTCCTGCCTGTGTTTTCCTCTAGGACTTGTATGGTGTCACAACTTAAGTCTTTTATCCACCCTGAATTTATTTTTGTGTATGATGTAATTTGGTTATTAAGTTTCATTTTTTTGCATGTAGCTCTCCAGATCTCCCAACACCATTTGCTGAAGAGGCTATTTTTACTCCATTTTATGCTTCTTCCCCCTTTGTCAAATATTAGTTGACCATAGAAACTTGGGTTTATTTCTGGGGTCTTCATTCTGTTCCATTGGTCTATGTGTCTGTTCTTATGCCAGTATCAGGCTGTTTTGATTACAGAGGCCTTGTAATAATACAGTTCGATAGGTGGTGAAAGTGAATATCCTTATCTTGTTCCTGATCTTAGTGTGAAAGTTTTAAGTTTTTGCCCGTTGAGTATGATGTTGGCTGTAGGTTGCTCATATAGGGCCTTTATTATGTTGAGGAATGCTCCCCCTATTCCCACTTTGCTGAGTGTTTTTATCATAAATGGGTGCTGTACTTTCTCAAATGCTTTTTCCACATCTATTGAAATGATCATGTGATTTTTGTTTTTTGTTTATGTGATATATTATGTTTATTGATTTGTGAATATTGTACCATCCTTGTATTTCTGGGATGAATCCCACTTGATCATGGTTTATTATCTTTTTAATGTATTGCTGAATGCAGTTTGCCAATATTTTGTTGAGGATTTTGGTATCTATGTTCATCAGTAATATTGGCCTGAAGTTTACTTTCTTTGTTGTGTTTTTATCTGGTTTTGGAATTAGGATGATGCTGGCTTCATAAAAAGAGTTTGGGAGTCTTCCCTCTTCTTGGAGTTTTTGGAGTAGTCTGTGAAGTAGTCTTCCATAAATGCTTTGTAAAATTCTCCTGTGAAACCATCCAGTCCAGGACTTTTGTGTGTTGGGAGTTTTTTTATTACTGCTTCAATTTCATCAGCTGTTACTCGTCTGTTCAGGCTTTCTGCTTTTTCTTCATTGAGTTTTGGGAGATTATATTTTTCTAGAAATTTATCCAATTCACCTGGTTTTTGAATTTTTTTGGTATACAGTTCTTCATAGTAATTTCTTACAATCAGTTGTGATTCTGTGGTATTTGTTGTAATCTCTCCTTTCATTTTTTATTGTGTTTATTTGGGTCCTCTCTCTTTTTTTCTTGATGAGTCTGCTTAAAGGCTTTTCCATTTTGTTTATCTTTTCAAAGAACCAGCTCCTGGATTTATTGATTCCTAGATTGTTGTGATTTTAGTTTCTAGGTCATTTAATTCTTCTCTGATCTTGATTATTTCCTTCCTTCTACTTGCTCTGGGCCTATTTGTTGTTGTTCCTCTTGTTCTTGTATGTATAGAGTTAGATTGTTTCTTTGAAATGTTTCAATCTTTTTTAGGTAGGCCTGTATTGCTATGAACTTCCCTCTCAGGACTGCCTTTGCTGTGTCCCATAAGTTTTGGATTGTTGTGGGTTCATTTTCATTTGTTTCCAGAAACTTTTTGATTTCTTCCCTAATCTGATTTTTACCCCATTCATTGTTTAATAGCATGCTATTCACTCTACATTAGTTTGAGTGATTTTTAGGTTTTTTTCTTGAGGTTGGTTTCTAGTTTCAGTCCCTTGTGGTCAGAGAAAATGCTTGATATGATTTCAATTTTCTTGAATTTGTTGAGGCTTGTTTTGTGTCCTGTCATGTGGTCTGTCTTTGAAAATGTTCCATGTGCATTTGAAAAGAATGTGCATTTTGCTTCTTTGGGATAAAAGGCTCTCTATATAAAAATTAAGTTCATTTCATCTAGGACGTTGTTCAGTGCCTCAGTATCTGTGTTGGTATTTTGTTTGGAAGATCTCTCCATTTTTTACCTTAGTTGTGTTGCTGTCAGTGTCTTTCCTGAAGTCCTCCAAGAGTTCCTTTATGTATTTGGGTGCTCCTATGTTTACAATGTTTATATCTTTTGGATGGATTCTTCCCTTGAGCATTATGAAGTGACCTTCTGGGTCTCTTTTCATGGCCTTTGTTTGGAAGTCTATTTTGTCTGATATAGTATTGCTACCCCAGCTTTTTTTTCCTGTCCATTTGCTTGGAATATTTGTTTCCAGACCTTCATTTTCAGTCTGTGTAGGTCTTTTGTTCTGAGGTGGGTGTCTTGTAGGCAGCATATATATGGGTCATGATTTCTTATCCATTCAGCTATTCTGTGTCTATTGATTGCAACATTTAATCTATTCACATTTAAGATTATTATTGATAGGTACTTATTCATTGCTGTTTTACTCCCTTTGTACCTGTATTCCTCTCTCTCTCAGTCTTTTTCTTCCTTTTCTTAAAGCAGACCCTTTAGCATCTCTTGCACAGCTGGTTTGGAGGAGGTGTATTCTTTAAGGCTTCTTTTGTTAGGGAAGCTCCTTATTTGGCCTTCCATTTTAAATGAGAGCTTTGCAGGGTAGAGTAGTCTTGGTTGGAGGCTTTTTGTTTTTCATTATTTGGAATATTCCTTCCAATTCTCTTCTGGATTGGAGCATTTCTGTTTAGAAGTCAGCTGCTAGTCTTATCAGGGCTCCCTTGTATGTTACAATGTTTCTCCCTTGGTGCCTTTAATGTTCTCTCTTTGTCTTGGAATTTTGCCATTTTAATTTTGATGTGTCTTGAAGTGGGCCTCTTTGGGTTCCTCTTGATTGGGACTCTCTGTGTTTCCTGGATTTGTGTGACTTTTTCTCTCATCGAATTAGGGAAGTTTTCCATCATTACTTTTTCAAATAGGTTTTCTATTCCTTGTTCTTCTTCTCTTTCCGGTATCCCTATTAATAATATATTATTATGGTTCATGCTGTACTACAGTTCTCTTAACCCCTCTTCATTCGTTTTGAGTCTTTTTTCCTTTTATTGTTCTTTCTGGGAGGTTTTATCTACCTCGTCCTCCAGTTCGCTGATTCGATCCTCTGTTTGATTCCTGATCCTGCTTTTGATCCCTTCTGCTGTGTTCTTCAATTCAGAAATTCTTTTCTTCATTTCCTCTTCGCCCTTGTTGGTAGTTTCTATTTCCTTTTACGTGTTGAGAGTTGGCAGTGAGTTCATTGTAGCTTCCCTGTAGTTTTTAGAACCAAGTCATTTTAAATCACAGATTCAAAAAGTATGTTATTTATGTAATCACATTACATTTATGGAATTGCAATGAATTTAGAACATGAAATTTTGTTTTCTACCTTTCACAGTTTCAGGTTTAAAATATTAGGTTTTTTTGATGTCTTTCAATATTTTCAATGTTGTAATTGTTACATTTCTGAGGTCATAGAAAAGGCATTGGAAGAGCTATTCCCATTGAAAGAACTATTTCCATAGAAAAGGCATTGAAAGAACTTATACTGACATATGAAGATTGCTGTTAACAGAGGATATAACTATTACTGTCTTTTATAAGCCAAGCCTACTACTTTGTGTTTTTACTAATTTTATTTCATTTATATTTGTGGTAAACTTATAAGGCTGTTTCCTCAGTTTATAGGTAAGGAAACTAAAGCTTAGATAGAGTAAATGACTCACTCAGAGTCACATAACTGGGAGAGATTTGAACCTGAGTCTTTGGACTCTACACATTGTTCTTGAAGAGTCATTCAAGGAATGGAACTCTTCTGAGTTCCTTGAGAGATTTTGTTCATGAGCCAAAGAGATTATATTTCGTTTGGTTTTGGAAGTGAATAAGTAACCTGTGGAAAACTCACAAGAGCTATGGAAATGTTTTTTAAGCTAAGGCTTAAGGGTGAAAGTTTGAAGTAGATTCTTATCAAAGACTTACCCCTTCTTTATACCTCCCAGTCTTCCATTTAAATATAAAACTTTCCAAAACAAATATTTACTTTAATTCTCTGGAAAGAATGCATTTCCACAATGTTCCCATCACACAATTATTTATTGTATGTGTATTTAGTTTTAATTTCATTTCTTAGTGTTTTATCATTATTTTTTTCCACATTTCCCATTCTGGATTGTAACATTTTTGAGGTTCCCTGTTATATTTATCTGTAATTGCTATCTCCTACCTTGTTCAGTACTTTATACAGTACATAGAAGATGCTTAATAAATGTTGAATAGTATTGAGTTATAGCATTTCAGGTTCTCTACAATGTACCCTTCTTCATCTCTATCATATTCTCTCATATTACTTTCCTGTGGAGATAGCCAAGTAATTATAGTCATCATTTATCTGTCGTAGTGCCCTTTTTCACATTCAGATGCCTTTTTTCACTCTTTCTCCACTTACAGTTTTAATTACCATCTTTCCTCCTCCACCAGACCTCAACCATTCAGCTCATTAGAAGTCTTTGGGTTTCCTCCTGCAGTTACTGTCATTAGGGTATATCTGACACTTAGCATATTTCATTCTCAGTTATCTTTTGTTTGTGCTCTTATTCATCTGGATTGTGAATTTAAATTCCTGTATCTCTCTAGTTATGGAAATTTTAGATATGTGGAATGAACAGTTGCATTTAATGTTTACTCTTATAGTAATAATGATTACTACATTCTGAAATTTACTTTCAAAAATAGCTGTGGCGCTTTATTTTTTCAACTTTTACAAAATGTGTGTGTGTTTGTATAATGTTACTCTATATATTATGTGTATACATATATAATTTTTAAATTAGGTTATTAGGACACCCCATGGGAGAGACTTCGATGACTCTTTGGAAAGATGTGATGAGTATTTGAGCCCAAGGTCATGTAGCAAGCCCCAGCATTCCGCGAGGACCATACATGTCCACTCAGCACCCTCAACAATGCTGAAGCATTCTCCAAGCCCTGTGTTAAATCGTGCTTCTCTCAGGGAAAGGTAATAATGATTAGTCCCTATTTCTGGACTACTTTTTTTGAATAGTAATCACTAGAAAAGAGAAGGCAGCAATAATGTATGTGAAGTGATTATTTGTAAATGTATAATTTCATTTTCAGAAGTTTAAATTGTATTTGTTTACAACATATCACATATTACAATAGTGTTAGATATTCTTCCTCAACCCAATTTTCTTGAAGTGAGTTTAATATTAGTGAATTTATTCATCAGGGTGACTTTAACCCTAATTAAGTCCTTTAGTTGACAAAAGAGAAAAACAGAGTATGTGATAGTTTGTTTTTAGTAGATTCATAGATATTTAATATTATAGGCATGGCTTATGTATAAAAATAGCATAGGTTATATTTTCCTTTGATAATGATGATAATGATGATAGTATATACTGTTGGTATAAGATACCTGATTTTCTCAAATAACCTCTTTTCAACTCCCCAAGAGAATGTTAATCATGTAAAGATTCTAGCACTCCCTCTAAAAATGCTTTTGCAACCAAAGTTAGCCAGTAGTAATAAATTGAATGTGAAAGAAGTACTGAATTTTTTGAACTGTTAAGATGCACCAGACCATAAGATGCCCCTAGGTTTTAGAGGAGGAAAATAGAAAAAAAATTATGAATCAAAAATGTGGTAAAATATTTAATAACATAAATAACATAGGCCACTGCCCCCCCCCACAGTGAGCCAGGTAAGCTATGTTCGCACTGTAAGATGCACCCTCATTTTTCTCCCAAATTTGGGGAGAAATTCGTCTTACAGTCCAAAAAATACAGTAATTTCTCTTCATCTTTTTTAAAAAAATTATTGTTGAGTCCAAACTGGAGATTCCTTGCTTCTCTCACAAAGTAACTTAGAAAACAATCATTGTCATAAATTAAATAACAGAAACACCCAGACTTCAGTATTTAAAAAATGTTTAAAGAAATCTATTTAAGTATTTAAGAAATCTGAATACCTAACAGATATAACTACATCTACAACATGGAAATAAAATCTGTCTTTACAATAGTTTTAAAAAGCTAAAGTAATACACTACATTTCTATAGCATATTAGGGTCACCAGACATCATTGAACAAGTTTAAATTAACTGGAGAGGGTCTGTCAAAAGTTCATCTTAAAACTGATGTGTCAGTGTGGAGGGCATATCAAAACACCCTATTCTGAACAAACAGGTTTGTCTGTTTTCCCATGAGCCTGACAAGCATTCGAAAGGGACACATGGAGACAGGCCAGAGACCCTGACCCTGAGGTGGGGGTTTTGATCAGTGTTGCTTCTAGTCCATTATAGTCATGCCAGTGGGGATTCTTGAGTTCAGATAGATGGATAGATGGATTGATAGACACACAGATAGATAGATGACCTCTATACCTCTAGGCTTTGAAAGTTCAAGAGCAGCTCTTGAAGAGAGGTTTTTCTGCTGAAGTCTGGTAACTTGCATCTCAGTATCAAGGGATTTTCTTTGAATTCCATATCTGCTCAGATGTTTAGACATATAGTTGGTGTTATTCTCTTTTTACCTACTTTTAGAATTAAGGGCTTCTGATTTGTTGATTAGGTTCTTTACTGTATCTGTAGTTTAAGATTTTTTTTGCCTATATCTCTTTGTATATGTTTTATAAACATTGGTTTATTTTTCTACTTTTTCACATATTTTACAAAACTCTCCAATTGTTTACCATTATGGTACAATATCAGTTTTAGCCTTTTATTACTTTATCCTTGTATATGATTTTGACCCAGCTTTTGAAGCCTATCCTTTCAAGGTTGATAAATCCTTCCCTGAGGCTGTATTCAGATATTTTTTCATTGAGGATAGCTAAAGGCGGTCGTCTTTTTTTTCCTCATATTTCAGTGCAAGGGATGGTCCAGAGTAAATAGTGGCATTTACACATTTATTTTGATGCTAGATGGTAGATGTGGATAAGTTCTTTGCTAGAAGAAAATGAGTGGTTCTAATATTAAACACTACCTATCTTTTCTATGACTTGAGGAAGGTTAAGGTACTGCTAAAATAAGAGAATATGATGGGAATTTAGTTTTGAATTAATCTAAAACAATAAAATTTGGGGGGTACTTTCTAGGGTAGATAGAATTTTTTACTTTCATTGAGGTGAAACACCTCTATCTTGAGTGTATTTACTAAAAAAGATTCTAGATTTAGTCCATAAAGGAAAATAAAATGCTTTTGTGAAATAGTACTAGGAACAAAATGATGTTCTTCTTTAGCACGCTCAGTACCACATCCATAAATATGAGACATCTCTGATCTGGCCTTTGAGGTCACTCAGCAGTATATTTATAGGGTGTTTATGGAATCCGCTGGAATAATAAGCAATTTAAACTGATGTAAATGTAGATTATATGTCCCAGGAAAAAAAGGAAGTATGACAGAGCATGTGGCTCTAGGAATTTATCTGGGTAAGTATTCATGAAAATTAATGAACTTTTCTCTAATCTTGCTGGAAAAGGCTGACTCCTTAATCATGTATATGTATTAAACAGACTTTTAAAAACTTTATCAGTGACTCTAAGCAAATGAATTTTTTATTGATAGTGTAAGTTCTCTTTGCTTTAAGCCAATTTCAAAAATACCTTCAACAGAGTTAGCACACGATAAAATGGTTTCAGTTTTGATGTGTTATAGTTCAGAAGCAGTTTTCTCCTCCAAGTATAAATATTAATATTATGACTTAGAGTTTGTAGTAGGCTCTAGAATTATTGTTGAAATAAGACTAAGGAATACTAGCCAATCTAATTTAAAAGGAACTGATATTCTTTTAAATCATGCTTAAGGTTTTTATTTTTGTAAATGGAATTAAAGATCGTTGGGCAATCATTTCTTATACCACAGCACAGACTAGTGGATCCTCTCATGGTCTCATTAAAGACACCACAGTGTACTGTTGGAGCTGCCTGTGGATCTCAGGTTCAAGATGTGGTTCATGTGTAGCAAAGTCTGCCAGTGTATTGGCAGAGATGCAATAACACCTTCTCTCATTAATGCAGGAGATTATAGTTCATCATCCATTATTGATTATATTCTTTAAAACAGCTAATGTAACTCATTTATCCTGCTTAATGGTCTGTACTTTGACTAAACATATAAAATTGTAACTTTTTAAAGAACAAACTGTGAGATAAAAAGATAGTTTTAATCAACCTATTAGCATTTTAGTACTCATTCCTTTATAAAGGAATTATCAGTAGCATTTCATATAGATGCCTTACAATCAGATCTAGAAATTTTCATTGTTACTTATATAGCTTAATTATATGAATGCCAGTTTTGAGTTTGGAAAGGGCATAAGAATGAAGAATGTTTGATTTATTTCTTCTTTGACATCTTTAAGTCCAACCTTCAGACTCTTAAAAAAGGCATATTTTTCTCTCCTATTCTTTAATATTTACTGTAGGGGACCGGTTTGTTTTGATCTGGCAAATGTGACTCAGCTCTGTATGGAAAACCTACAGAAGCAAAGTGGTGGGCAGGAGCCAGACCTTCAAACTGAGTTTTCCCATGAGAATCAGGCCTAGAAAATGCATACAGATTTTTATGGCTTGCTCTTGCTAAAACTCCATCACCCTGGTCTAAATCAACAAATTGTATTGTCTATCTTCAAGGTAATATCAAAAGCCTGTGTGAGTTTTCCCAAGGACAGAGCTAATCAGCTCATCGCCATTCCCCTCTGCATGTTATTTTCATTTCCTTGATTGTACCTAAAATGTAGACAACAATATTCTATGTAACAGATAATAAATCTTTCTCTGCTGTAAGACCCCAGGAAAACAATAAAAGCCTAGGCAAGGCTTGAGGTGCTCTCCCCTTAAGAGAGTGGCTGAGGCACCATAGGCACTCTCCCCTTGAGAGGGTAGCTGTGTCATTCCCTTTTTCTCCATGAGATTGCTGTCGCTCGGGCATTCATTCTCATTGTCAGCCACAACAGGTGGACTCTGTTGGCCGGAGACTGCTACAATTTACTTTTTCAACTGCTATTAGGAATGGGTCGTTCAATTTTTATGTTTCACTGTATTCTTTCTTATTTATTTGTTTATTGAGGTATAATTGACATACAAAATTATATTACTTTCAGATGTATAACATAATGACTTCAGTATTTGTATTGTTCGCCTGTATTCTGAAGGTATAAGAACATGATTGGATTATAAATAATACTTTAATCTCTTACCAACATTTTGCGTCATTTCATAAAATGAGTTATATTCTTTTTTTATGCAGAAAGAAATTTCTTCCGCATAGTTTGGATATGATTCAATTACTGGAAAATAAGAACTAATTTGAAAGGCATTCTACATGGAATTATTATTCTAAAATGAAAATCTATATCTTTATATAGAGATAAAACTCTAAAGAATTATGTATGTAAATTATTAAAGTGGTCAGATATATGGGTATGTTCTTCCAAATTCATGTCAGAGTTTATTATTAAGACTATATATTGAACACAGTGTGAGTACTTAATACTACAACTGAGAATTAGTACCTGATTTTATATCTGCCTTGGCTGAAAGAAGAGAAATGTTATTCTAATCTTTATGTATTACTACATAGGGATAAGAAAAAAATGACTTTCTGTGTTTGGCATTTGGAAAGATTTCTTTTTCTCTCTCTCTGGCTACAAGTCACCTTTGTTTTTTATGCCTACAGATTCCATTCTGACTGGTGTTCACCTTCAAACTGTGATGAGATCCATGACCGGGTAAAAAATGTCTTGAAATCACATCAGGCTCATCAAAGACATTTATATGTTAGTTTCTAAAATTTTCTCTTGAAGGCTTTTCATAACTGGGCATGAAAACCACCCAAGATGCTTAAAACTTGTAATGTTCGATCATTGAGAAGGAAAAGATACAGCTTCTGTATCTAACTTCCTGCTTGATCTGAGTCATTATGCAAAATGTTGGATGTGGATTCTCTAAACTGTAAACATAAGTTAGTGATTGTTACCTAACCAAAGAGCCAGTAAATAGTGACTTTATGGTAAGTTTCTCACAGCCTTCAAAATATGGGAACTTTTGTTCTTTGGTCTAGTACAAAGAAAGTCCATGGCCTATAAATAGATTTGATTCTGAATAGTAGAATGAGGGAGGAGTGACAAAGTACATATTTTGAAGAAACTTCCCAACTGACTTTTATGCTAATTGAATATTTAAAAGAGGAAAAGAGAGAGCTGGTCAGGTCTACCGGGTTTAATATTAGAGAACATCAATATGAGAATATTTTCTGAGACGAGACAAAAAGTGTATACATGAAGGACAGCTCAGAGATAATCCCTGTGTGTTCTTTTGTGCTTGGTTCCTTGTTTCATTTATTAGCTTTAAAAACACTTATCACAGCCCAAAGCTAAGTTCTGGTGACATAACTGGATTCTGTGACATTGGCATCAGTTTGTACCATTTTAAATTTCTATATGCTTGGTGCTTTTTAATTAAACGTGTTTTCAAAGTATAACATACATTCAGAATACATACACACCATAAGTAACAGCTCTATGAAATATAATGAACCCCCTTACACAAATTGTCTACCAGATCAAAAAACAAAACATTTTCAGCTCTGCATAAGTCCCTCCTTTTTTCTCATAGCTGCAGCCATTCCAGGGGAAACATTATTCTGACTTCTAATAGCAAGTGTGTTTTGTAAGTAAGTAAGCATTGTGTGTTTTGTTTTTTATATAAATAACATCTTGCAAAAAAAATGCCTGCTCCTTTTTTTTACCCAACTTATTTCACTTTGTTTTTGCAAGTCAGACATTTTTGCAATGCAGACATCTTGTTACCTTTAGCAATAGTTCTTCACTGTTACTGCTGAAATGGTATTTTATCATGAAAATACTGTCATTGATTCACTTATTCCTCTCATGATGTACATTTGGGTTGTTTCTTGTTTGGGATGTTATAGAGCCACTGTTTATGCATGTCCTCAGGTAACACTGTATGCATTTTATTTGGGTTCATAGTTCCCTGGGGATTGTTCAATCACAGTGAATGTGTCCACTCAGTTTTGTAGATGCTGCCAAACACTCTGCCTAGTGACTCTTAACAGTTCAGTAGGGACCGTTCATACTACCACCACCAGTTTGTGTGAGTTCTGCTTCTTCTGTGTACTCACAACTGTCTGATTGGTTGTGGGTGTGTGCTTGTGTGTGTTTTCATTTGGCATTTTCATAAGTAATTAGTGTTTTATCACATAATAGTTTTAATTTGCTGTTTTCTGAAGACTAGTGAATATGGTCATTGGCCATTTGGATATCCTCTTTTGTGAGCATTTGTTCAAGTCGTCTACTCATTTTTGTACTGTTGCCCTTTCTTTTCTTGGCTTGTTAGGCTTCCATATAGACTCTTGATAGGAGTTCTCAGTTGGGTATATGTTTTGCAGTTTTCTTTTTTCTGTGCATTTGTATTTTCACTCTCTTAATGGTATCTTTTAGTGAAAAGAAGTTTGCAATTCTAATAAGTCCAATTTATCATTTTTCTTTCTTATTAGCATGTTTAGGGTTTTTTTCTGTAAGACATTGTCCTTTATTTTTTTCTAAAGGCTTTTTGTTTTCTTTCACAAATATGTGATTTGGTTGGAGTTACTTTTTTCTGTATAGTGGTAAGTAGGTTTTAAGATTCAGGAAATGTTCAAGTCTCATGATAGTGGAGGTATCTCTTTCTAGTTCTGTTGATTTTTATTTTATCTATTTTGAAGCTATCTCATTTTTGGATACAGATTTCAGACTGTGGTGTGAACCTTTTATTGTGCAATGCTCCTCCTTATCTCTAGCATTATTCTTTGTTTCACAGTATTTTTTTCTGCTGCTAACATAGTTATTGTGACATTTTCTGGCTAACATATGCAATGTGTATTTTTTCCATCCTTTGCTCTTTATCACTGGAGTTAAAGTGCATATCATAATAAGCACATGAGATTTTTTGCAAAAATGAAAATTCAGAATTTTCATGTCAACGGATGGGGCTTTCATTTGGATTAATACGTATTTTTTGCCATTTATTTTTCTTTTTACTAACTTGTTATTTTTTTTATTTTGTCATTGGTTGCCCTAAAGATTTCAACATGCTTAGCTGACTTATTATTTCTTTGTTGACCTCCCCAATAATACTGGAGCCGAAAAACATTTAACTCTTTGTAATCCACATTCTTTATGTATGTCTATTTTTGTTATGCATTTTTAATTGTACATATATTAAATGGACAAATTTTGTTTGTATAGTAATGCTTATTCATTTTAACCTCATATTTACTCTTTCTATTTATTCTTTATGGCAATTTCATGTTCCCATCTGGATTCTAGAATTATTTTCTTTCTGCTTGAAGAATTCCCTGTGATACTTATTCTGCTTTGGTTTGTTTGAAAATGTCTTGGTTTAATTCTATGAATTTATTTTAATGGGATATAAAATTCTAGGTTGGTAATTACCTTCTTAGGTATATCAAAGAAGCCATTCCAGTGTCTTCTGGCTTCATTTGTATCTGTTGAAAACTCAGATGTTATTTTTTCTAAATATTGTGGGGGTTTTCTCACCCTCTTTGTTTAGCAGCCTTATCATTATATACCTAGATGTGGTCTTCTTGGGCCAACTCTATGTTAAGTTTTTAGAGCTTCTCAAACCTGAAGGTTATCTTTTATCAGTTTCGGTAAAGCAGTAGCTATTCTTTCTTTAAACATTGCTTGTGCCCCAGTATCTCTTTACTCTCCCTCTGGAACTTCCCATTATATTTCCGCACAACCTTTAGGCTGTCTCATATGTACCTTACACTTATTTTGATATTTTTAATTTTTTTCTCAAGTTCAGATATTTTCTTTTGAAATGTCCTCCAAATTGCTAATCCTATCTTCTGCTTTGTTGACATTGTTGTTAAAGCTATCTGAAACATTTTGAAAAATATAACTTAAAAAGACATAAACTACCAGAACTAACTCAAGAAGGAATAATTTTGGTGATTGTATATATATATTACAGAAATTGAATTTGAAGTTAAGAATCTTCCATAAAAGAAAATACTAGTCCCAGGTGGCTTCTCTCATGAATTCTACAAAACCTTTAAGGAAAATATAATATCAGTCTTATGCATTCCTGAAAAGTAAAGGACAACCTTTCACGTTATTTTATGAGGTCAGCATTTACCCTGGTGTGAAAACCAAGCAAGCACATTAAAAAAAATAATTATATAAACTCACCTAAATCCTTCATGAACAAAGATGCAGAAATCCTCAACAGCAACATTACCAAAGCAAATTTAGCAATTTATAAAAATGAAAATGTCATAATCAAGCAGACTCATTCCAGAAATACAAAGTAAATTCATCCCATTAATAGGTTAAATAAGAAAAATAATGTATTTCTTCTCTGTGTCATTTCAATGGACACAGAAAAATTATCCAAAAAATCTAATCCATTCATGATAGTTTTAGTAAAGTTGAGATAGAAAAGAATTTTCTCAGCCTAATAAAGAGCATCCTTTAAAACCCACACCTAAGATTGAATGCTTCCCCCTAAGTTTAGCAAGAAGGCAAGGATGCCTCCTGTCACAGTTTCTTTAACATCATACCAGGAGTCTTGGGTGATGCCGAGAGGTAAGAAAAAGAAGTAAAAGGCATGCAGGTTGGAAAGGAAGAAGAAGCAAAACTGTATTTGCAGAAGCTATGATTATTTTTTTTTAGAAAATGCCAAAGGATCTACAGAAGTGTTCCTAAAACTAATAGTGACTTCAGCAAGGTCACAGTATACCAAGAAAATCATTCCCCCTATATGCCAGCAATGAACAATTGAAATTTTAAATTAGAAAATCCATACTACATGTAATAATAGCACCAGAAATTGAAGTGTTTAGGTATATTCTAACAAAATATGTTTAGGGTCTGCATTTTATGAAGTTCAAAATACTTTGGAAAAACTAAAGAGGTAAACCTAAATGGGGAGGTAGAACACTGTCTTCATGGATTGGAGGACTCAATGTGAAGGGGTCAGTTTTCTCCATTTTGATTCTGCACATTTCCGTGTAGATGTAAAGACCACGTTAAGCTTCTTAAATAGGTATTAATGAGCTATCTGAAAAGTATATGGGATGGCAAGATAATTTGAAAAGCCAAAACAAGTATGAAGAAAGAACAACAAAGTTGCAGGACCAGCTACGTAATTTGAACACTTACTGTAACACACAGCAACGAGACAGTGTGGGACTGACTAAAAATAGGGACACATGTATCCAAAAAACAAAGTTGATGCCCCATAAATATGAGTATACCTACAAAAATGGTGTCAACTGGTTTTTCAAACAACTGCACAGTCAGTGGAATGTAAACTGCATTTCTTGCCTTTACGAGCACATGACTCAAGAAGTCCTTGATCTCTGTCAATTCAACATAGATCATAGACCTCAAATATAGTAGAAAATCTGTTTAGTTTGTATTTGGAAATAACTTTTCAGATATGACACCAAACACATGACCCATAAAAGAAAAAATATTTATAGATTGAACTTCATTAATATTAAAAACTTTTGCTCTGTGAAATACACTATTAAAAGAAGAGAAAGACAAGCCTCAGTCTGTATGGAATATATATGAATCACATATATGAGTAAGGACTTGTATCCAGAATTTAAAAACAAAAAGTCCAAACTTCAAACTCAATAAGAAGACGAAAATTACCCAATCAAACACGGCGAAACATCTGAACAGACCTTCCGCCAAATAAACATACATAATGATGTTCAATTGTCATTACAGAAATGCAGATTAAAAGTGATGTGTTACTACCACATACCTTTTAGAACTGTTAAACAAAAACAAAAGTCTCCCCAAATCTGTAGTAGCAGTTTCTGTCAAGGATGTGGAGCAGTAGGAATTCTCATTCAGTGCCGGAGGGAATGCCCAGTGGTGCAGCCTTTGAAGACAGTTGGGCAGTCTCGTGTGGGACCACGTACACACATCAGATGACACAGCAGTTCCACTCTTAGGTACTTACCCAAGGGAGTTGACAACATGTTCACACAAAAGCCTGCACACAAATGCTATAGAAACTTTATTTTCCCCAAACTGGAATCTTAAGAGAACATTTAACTTACTGGGAAGGAGAGCCCTATCTTCCTTTAATAGTTGCATTTTATTAATGACTTTTACTGGAGAAAAATAGTTTCTTCTGGACTATATTATTTCAGAATACCTTCATAAAAATTAACTAAATAGTTAATTTAGTTAATTTCAGCTAAATATTAGCTGGAAGAGTTTGAGCCCAAATTTTTGATTTATTGATTGATTTGAAAGAGAGGTGATTGGTTGTTTTACTTAATGCATTCATAGGTTGTTTCTCGTATATTCCTTGACTGGGGATTGAGCCCACAACCTTGGCATATTGGGGCAGTGCTCTAACCAACTGAGTTACCCGGCCAGGGCCATGCCTAATTTTCATATAGGAGAAGGATCTAATGGTTTGGGATGGAGGTTTTGATTTCATAGTTCAGTTTATTTGCCTTCTAGGAAGCCATATGATGTATATTAAGTTAGAGCTGGACTTACATTCCAGCTGTGCCACTTAATAATTTATATCTTTGGAAAAGTTATTTAATTTATTATTTATTTATTTTTCTGAGTTTCAGAACCTTTGATAAAGTTATTGAAGGCTTAAATGATATTTATATAAAAAGTACCCAGATACCTTGAAGGTACTCAACAAATATTGGTGCTGTCCATCTTTTTCTGTATTTACACGTGGGCAAATGGGGATGTTGATGAGGAATAAGAGGTGAATCACTTCTTTGTGCCCTAGGAATGGACTTTCTGGCACTGACAAGAAAGATGCATCTCTTCAAATGTTTGCTTGCTCCATAGTCCGTAACTTACAATAAGATGTGGTGTTTGTTGCTATTTGCTTTTGTCGTATCCTGACCTTTAAAAAAAAGATTATGTAAAGACTTTTGTAAGAGATGTGTGTGTCGATTATATATATATAAAATGTCACAAATTAGAGCCTTAAACTTTGACGGGGATAGCTACGAAGGTCATCTGGTCCTTATGTTTCTTAGGGCAGAGTTCCCCCCATGAAATCCTTGACCTGAATGGGTGTCAGTGCTCAGCAGGAGCAGCTGTAGTGGTCGCGATCTCACTCCCTCCAGGACAGCCGGTGCATGTTCGGGACGCTGCTTTATTAATTAGAAAGTTTTCCTTCCTTTGTGCTCTGCTATGTCTCCTAGTAATTCTACCCTTTGGTCCATCCCATCCATGGAGCTTCATACAATAAACTAGCCTCGTTCCATGTGTGTGCAGGTACACGTCTTAGCCACCTTTCTCTCCTCAGGGTCTGGAAGAGTAACTACCCAGCTGAAAACATGGGTTTTGTGTAGTGAATAATTTAGGCTCAGATTTTTTAAGAAGTACTTTTGTATGTTTTTTCATATATGAACTTTTAAAATTTTAGTCAACATTTTTTACAATGTCAAAAAATTAACTTTCCAATTGTATTGACAAAATTAAACAAGAAATACTTACTGATTTATGGTTATGATTCATGTAATCACTTATATAATTTAGAAATGAATCACTTTTCCCAGGGATAGAATTTTTATATTTAGTATTATTTACTTGTTTCATTTAGTTCTTCTTGCACATAATCTATTTCTTTTTTAAAACATTACATCTTTTCTGTTTGTCACACTTTTTTTTGTAGTGTCTTTGTGGTTATTACAGCCAATTACATTTTTCTGGGATATTAATAGATGCTTCACTTTATTCACTTTTATTGATTTTGATGTACAAAAGTATGTAACATCTAGCTACATGCTATTTAAGAAAAATACTTATAGCCTAATAACAATGAAAGTTGAAAATAAAAGGACAAATGTATACCATCCAAGCACTAACTAAAAGAAAACCACTGTAGCTATATTAATAGTGAACCAAAAAAAGTTAGGAGGGGGAAGCATTAATAGAAATAAATGGAGTTACTTCATAGCGATAAAAGGTTTCAATTCACCAAGAAGCTTTAATAACTCTAGATACATATTTGCATTTTCTGTTATTTCTTAACTTGCTTAACTATTTACTGTTTATATTTTTAACTGAATGCTCTCTTCTGGATTTCATGCTATCAGCAAATTTTAAAAATTATTTTCTTTGTAATCGGTTTTCAGCTGACTTTTCACATAAAGTGAATTCATTATTAATACTATTCTTTATAGTAGTCTATTTGTGCTGACCAGTTTTTTTTTGTTACCAGATTTCTTTATTTCTATCTAGTTTGACTAAGGAATAAGAGTATTGGCTAGTAGGTGAGAATGATATCTAATACCAAATTATATAAAGTACCATATATTAAAACCATAATTACTGTGAATGATACAGTTTACAAAACTATTGCTTTAGAATCCTATTTCTTAAGCTCGTTAATGTGTCTATTGAAAGAACAATCTGGCCATAGGAGAAGTAGCCATGCATTCTGATTCCACATAACAATGTGTAAGATACTACTACACATATTATTATGTATCTTAATACATGGTATCCATTCCCATTCATTCGCTGATTCAAGAAACTTCTACTGGTCTTCTATTGGGTGTCCAGTCTTTGATAAGCAATGTTAACAAAAATACAATAAAACTATATTAGTCTTATTGAACAGAATAATAAATTTTGACCTACTCTTTTGTTTCTTTCCTAAGACATGCAAACATTTAATTCAATTTCTTATAATAGGGGAGGAGGAGAACATTTCTCAATGAGATGTTGAGTGTCATTATAATTATAAAATTAATTAATAATAATCTTTACTTTTTCAGGATGAAAGAGATACAGAAAAAGAAGAAGAACTAGAACTAAAAAGAGGTCTTTTTTGCAGAGACTATGCCTATGACAGTGACCCTGAGTACAGGTATGGGTTGCTTAATTCTGTGGAGTATAGAGATCTTCCTCATAATTGATATAAAAATAACCTGCTTCTTAATGCACTTGCTTGTGGGAAATTTAGACTCAAATTAGCAGTTATTAATTATATTTTATATATTTAAAATATTTAACTGTGTAATATCCTATTAAAATATTTTAATGTTTGCATTAATGAAACTTTTCGGTGAAAACAATGGTGATGCTTTCACCCTACTTAAGATTTTTAGTCTCTCTGACGTCCCTGCAAACCCACGTATCCAGGGCTTATTTCAGGCTGTTACATATCCATGCTCGCTGTCCTATGCTTTCCACCATCTTTGTGTATGAAATTAATTAGGAAGAATTCTCTTAGCAAGGAGTTGTTAAGTGACCTTTTACTACTAACACCTTGGTATTTGGGAGCTAGATTGGAGAAAGAATCTACTGCCCATCCATACTTCCTTCTCAATTTCATGTTGCCGCTCTTAAAATTTTAGATGTGTGCTATAGTATCAGGGCCCTGGGATGCTCTTTCCTCCTATTAGCACCTTCTGTGTATGACTCAGATTTCTATAGTACATCTGGCATCACATCTATTTGAGCATTAGTCCTAATTAAAGACCAGGCATGAAGTGATGCTTCATATAGATGGGATTTGGCCACAAAAAGAGAGAAGTAAGAATAAAAATAATTTGAAGTTCATGTTAGAATATCACTTTACCTTTCATGACTGTTGCCCAAAATTTTAGCCACATTCTGTAATGGAATTAGCTATTGATAGAACTGTTTTCTCATTGCTTATGTGTATTTTTCAGGTTACTAACAGCAGGAATATGGTTAATATAAATGCTTTAATTATGAAATTATAGCAAAATCCCAAACTCAGTAATTTAAATTTTGGCTATTTATTTTTAAGTAACACAGGGTTGAGTATAGTTTTCATCTCTTCCTCATCAGTCACTATCTGGTTCATTTCATGAATTTGCTAAAATTTAATAAATAGCCATAAAGCTATCTTGAGTATTAACAAATGGAAGAAAAATCTAAATAATATATCAAATCTAAATAATATATCTTAAGTCAAGAGACTTAAAATCTCTTGACTAAGAATAAGCCTTCATTTTTAAGTGAGAAAATGTTACTTAATTCTAATTTGAATTCATTGGACCTTGTGTAATTAACTCAAGTATAATAAAGTCCTTTTTAATTAAGTATTTAAGATTTAGGTTTTTTTTAAAGGTTTTTGTCTAGAGGGCATATTGATGTTCAGAAAATTTGTGTTGCTGCATGTTTATGTGATTTTTCAAAGTGTTTAAAAATTTTAGCTTGGGGTCTAGAAAGTTTCTGATGATTAGAAAAGGGAAGTGTCGGTTTCATCTTTACTTTTTAAATGTGTGTTCCTTTTATTTAATACAACAAACATATAACACACACATAAAGAAAAATACTCATGAAAGGCCCCATCACAATGAATAGTCAGGAAACATGTGCTAAGTCAAATGAGGCTCCTGCTCTAAACAGTTTTTTGCTAGCCACATCGGGAATTTAAGCAAGGTTGTTGCAAAAAATAATAAGAAAAGAAATAAAACATTCTTGCTCTGAGTACATCCATGGGTTATATTCATCTTTCAAAACCAAAGTATGCCTCGGTAGTTAGACTAGCTCACTCAATATTGCTGCCTGCCAGCCCCTGAAAGAACACCAGTAGGCAACCACAGTGGTTTTATGATGTTACGACATTCTCATAAACAAGTGGGCAATTATGGTTTGACTACATATTATTAGATAGATAGACTGCTGACAATGACATAGAAGATTACTAGCAGCAGCCTCAAGTTAGCTTTGGAAGCCATAATAAGTAGTATCTCATGATACTGTGCTCAAACTGTAGTTGCTTTAGTGATAACTGCCATTAGGAATTAAAATATGTTTATTGTTTATTTATGAAACTACTCTGAAGTATTCAGGCTACATTCCATACTATGGCTAGTTTTTTTTACTTGAGGTGTGGGGAGGAATTCAGAGTAGAATAATAAAAAAACAAGTAAGATGTTCTCAATGGACATGATAATGACACTGAGTTTAACCTGTATTAGTGAAACCAGAGGGATAACTTAAAATACGACTTTAAAATACTATTTTTGAGTATTTAAATAAAGACAGTTTGTCTTCTTAGAAATAATTTTTAAGGTCAAGGAGACTTTAAATTTTTTAACTTTTAATTTTTTATTTTTAATTGAATTTATTGGGGTGACATTGGTTAATTAAAGTATATAGGTTTCAAGTGTACAATTCTATAACACGTCATCTGTATATTTTATCTTTTTTCAATTGAATTTATTGGTATTATATTGGTTCACAAAACCATACAGGTTTCAACTGTACAACTCAGTAAAGCATCATCTGTATAATGTTCGCCTGCCATGCTAAGTAAAGTCTCTTTCCGTCCTCATCCCACCCCAAACTTTGCCCACCTCCAGCCAGCCCCCACCCCTTTCCTTCTGACCGTCACCACACTGTTGTCCCTATTATGTGTTATGTATATGAAGTCTGTCCAGAAAGTCTCCAGCCATGTACTGTGAAAAACAGAGCATTTATTGAAGAAGATACAAGAAACATTGTACAGAGGATAATGACACCTCAGTCCCCTTCAAAGTAAGCACCTTGGGACCTCAGATAGTTCTCCCTGCCTCTCTTCCACTGTTCAAAACACTCTGCAAAGTCCTTCGTTGGAATTGCCATCTGCTGCTCTGTCGTATTTTCCTGAATCTCATCAGCAGTCTGAAATCTCTTTCCTTTTAAAGGTGATTTTAGTTATGGGAAAAGCTAGAAGTCACAGAGCACTGAATCTGGGCTGTAGGGGGGCTGAGTCACCTGGGTAATTTGATGTTTCACCAAAAAACTCTGCACAAGATGTGACGCATGAACAGGCGTGTCGTCGAGATGAGGCTGCCAATCACCAGTTGCCCAGAGCTGTGGCTGCTTTCATCATGTTGCGTCTCTCAACCAACGAGGAAGACTGAGGTAGTACTCCTTATTGATTGTTTGGCCTGGAGGGATGTACTGTGAGGGACATTACCTTCCCAATCAAAAAACACAGTTTAAATGGTCTTGATCTTACTGCAACTTTACCACACCTTCTTTTGGTGTGGAAAACCAGGTGACTTTCATTGGGATGACTGGGCCTTCATTTTTGGATAAAAGCCATAGATACACTGTTTATCTCCAATTATGACCTTCTTTGAGGAAGTCTGGTTCATTGGTAGGGGTTTGATTTAAGTCATTAGCAACTGAAACATGATGTTAGCAGAGACTAAGAACCAATTATGCCAAAGCACATTTCATGCCAAGATCCTGCATCAAAATCTTGGAAATCTCAGACATGGTACTCATAGATTTTGGAGTCCCAGATCAGCTGCCAGCTGTCACACTGTCAGTTGCTGATCTTTGTTGATTGCAGCCCATACACATTCAACATTCTCAGGTGTCCTGCTTGTTGCAGGCCTTTTAGAACGGGGATCACTTTCAGCAGATTCTCGACCATCTTTGAAGGGTGTGTGCCACACTTGTATTTGTACCACACTCCTTGCATCATCCCCAAATGCCTTCTGAGTCACCTGAAGAGTTTCCACAGAGGAATGTTCAAGCTTAACACAAAATCTGATGCAGATTCATTGGTCAACTTGCTCGGTCATTTTGAATGTGACAGCTACACAATACACATGCTCACTCAATGGCGTCTACCACCCCTGTTGAATAGTGCAGTGAAGTCATCATTGCTGACACGTGCACATTCCGTCCACTCTCCTTGGCTGCCAGGTTACATCGATGTCACACAAACCATTCTGGTTATATTAACAGTGGCTGAGCTTTTTCTGGATAAATTTTATATATATTTTTTGATTTATCCCTTTACCTTTGTTTTTTAAAATATTTATTTTTACAGAGGGGGACAGGAGGGAGAAAGGGAGAGAAACATCAATGTGTGGTTGCCTCTCGTGCTCCCCCAACTGGGGACCTGGCCCGCAACCCAGGCATGTGCCCTGACTGGGAATCGAACCAAGATCCCTTTGGTTCACAGGCCCACGTTAAATCCACTGAACTACACCAGCCAGTGCACCCTTCACCTCCTTTTATCCAGTCCCCCAAATCCCTTCTCCTCTGACAGCTGTTATCCTGTTCCATGTATCCATGCTCCTCTCCATTTTGCTTGTCAGTTTATTTTGTTCATTAGATTCCACATATAATTGAGATTATATGGTATTTGTCCTTCTCTGATTGGCTTATTTCACTTAGCATCTCCAGATCCATTCACGCTGTCATGACAGGTAAAATTTTCTTCTTTTTTATGGCTATATAATATATTGTATCTTAATTCCGTCTCCCATTTCAGTAGAAATTTTTTTCTGTATTCTTCCATTGTAACCTTCGTATTCTCTTCAGAATAAAATTCTGTTTGACTTTTAACAGTTAAATCTTGCTTTACTCTTACCTCTGCAGAGGTATCTGCTGTCTCATGACCATCCGAACTGTGACCTGCCTTGGTTCCACTATAGTGTGATGCCCGGAATAACCCTTATCTTCTTGTTCATCCCCACGTCTCTTATCTAGTGAATGCCTCCTGATTCTTTTGGGCTAAGTTCTAGTTATTCCCTCTTCAGAGATTCTGTTTATGACTTCAACAGACTATTTGACCTCTTCTTTATCTTGCTCCTTCCTCTCATATATATAATTTCAGGTAGCAATATTGATCTCACAATGGTAACTATTTCATTATACATCTGCCTTGCTTTCTTCTGTTAACTGCATTCCCTGAAGGCACAGATGTTTTACTTATCTTTGTTTTTTGACTGCCCATCAAGGTCTCTGAATTGTACCAGGAGCTCATTATTTTTTAAGGTTCAAATGTTAAAATAGGGTGCTTTATTAATATTGATCAATTGTATTGCTGAAACTCTAAGGCATTGCTTAAGTAAACTCATTTTATGATAGTGATATTTAATAACA